TGTCAACAAAGCCAAGTCCATCTTGTTCATGAAGAGAACGGGCTTGATTCTCTCTCCAATGGCCTGTCTCAGTACAGTTTCAGTTTGTACACAGACACCTGTAAAATAATATTACATCAAACTGGTGTAACGGAATCAGCAATCTTTATTTTAATTCAACATTTTGGGGGTTTTGGTTCAGCATTACGAGTAAGGGGATAAAATAATTAATATTTTATATAATGAATTTTTAAATTTATGATATTTGTTGTTTCTTTTTATTAATATACTAATAAAGTTAATAGCCTTGACAATTTGTTCTCTACCACTTCAAAAGTATTGTTTCTTGCCAGTTTCTTGCCATTTTTTGAACACTGTCCTTTTTTAAATGCTAATCAACTGAAAAGCATCATTAATTATTGTATGTTTTAATGGTAACAACAATTAGACCAATACCTGAAACACAGTCAACAACAACAAGGGCACCATCGGTGACACGCAGAGCAGCTGTTACTTCTGAAGAGAAGTCGACGTGGCCGGGGGAATCGATCAAGTTGATCAAGAAAGCGTTGCTTCCATCTTTGTCTTTCTCTCCAACAATGTATTGGCAATCCTCCTTCTTCAATTCATAGTACAGCGAAATAGCACTAAAGAAATATTTAAGAAATACAATGACTAAATGTGGATGCAATTACATCACTACAAAGAAACTACATTGAAAACTTGGAGTATCTCATATTTCATACATAATTTTTATAATAGGATTTTTTTTCATTCATTTTTCTGTAAAATCTACAAAGAAAATATCAAATACCATTTTCAAGTTAAAGAGATACAAAAATCAAGATGAAATGTAAACATGTCAAAAAATTTACGTCTCTTACGTTGATTTGATGGTAATGCATCTCTCCTGTTCATCCTTTCTAGTGTCTGTAAATCTTGTTTCTCCTGCTTTTGCTGATGCAATGATACCAGCCTTGCTGACCAACGAATCAGTCAGCGTAGACTTGCCGTGATCGACGTGGGCAATCACAGACATGTTACGAATGTTGTGTTTACGATCCATGATCTCACGGATCTGCTCTACGGTAAAGTTCACCTGAAATAATGACAGTTATACTCATTAGGTTATTTACGGTAATACCAGCATCTCTTGCTGACAGATTTAGTCTAAGTTATGGATCACTATAGTATTTGAAACATTCCCCTTATTTTCATAACTGATTAGAAAGTACAATCAACTCAGCGATTATGCTTTATAAAACTATCAAAGGCTTTTCGTGCTGATAGAAAATAGAGACACTGATTGAGATTCTGTGTTCTACGTTGATGAAACTACGTCGTTTACACAACAAACAATCCTTGCTATTGATTTTTCAACCAACATATGTGAGAAACTGTTCATTTATTGACATGAAATTTGAATACATATTGCTAATCTTAACGTTAAACGACATTGAAAAGTATATCACAAGCTTTTTTTGAAAACTTTCCGATTCATATGCGTCCATTATGGCCGGCGTATGTCAGATAAGTAACACAATTTATTACACGCTATATCTTCGTAATTTCTCAAAATTTGAAATTTATACTTAAACATCAAACACTTCATAGACTAATTTATCATTAAATGTCTTTAAATTGTGGCGATGGAGCTTACCATCTTGGATCGAGTCTTAGATGGACAACCACTATGATAAACTCAGCTGTCCTCTTTCGTTGACTCGACGGAAAAGACCGTACTCTGATCACGTGTTGTCGAATGTTGTGAAATGCCACGCGTAATGCGGTGGTGGGTTGTTTCGTCTCCAATGTCTAAAAATGTTTCGAAACCATTTTTTTTCTCCATATTTTGAATTAATGATCTCCAAATAATAGTCCCTAATTGACAATATTATTATGTTATGTAGCCCACACGTTTATTGACACTAGCAGACTAGCTGCCTTTTTTTCAATTGAAGTTTCAAAAATTATAAATATTTATGCATTTAGTGTATAAATAAAAATAAGTATGAAGTAGCAAACATTCGAAAACTGCCTTTTTTTCGGGGACTGAAGAGCGTATCTTTGATTTCTTTTCTTTCTTTTTTTGGGGGGTTTATGTTCTTGTTTTTTTGTTGTTGTTTTTTATTTTGTGTACGTTGTTGTTTTTATACACGAATTAATTGACCTCTCGGCATCAATAGAAAACGAGGCAAAGAAGTATACATATATTTTCGTTAAATATATAATCTATTTAATACATTTGGTTTTAACAGATATCGATATATATATGTCACAGACTTAATTGTAATTCCCCTTTTATCGAGTACCACAAACGGGTACTAGATCGAAATAAAACTGATCCAGCTAGGTGTTCAGGAAAAAAGTTTATTTTAAAAGTACTTAATATATGTGATATTTTAATATCTTTATTTATTTCAAAGAAATTTTAATGCTTAGATCCAAAAGCATCCATGTTACACCATTGCTAGTTCCAAAAGGAGTCTCCCAGTTGGTTTGATACGTATGGGCATCATCATAAGTAAAAACAATTTCTAAGACGATAAACTATTGACAAACAAATTGACGAAACAAGACAGACTCGTTAATGTCAACATTTTCACGGTTTAGCAAGTTCTACATGATCGACAAAATCATCTTGTTAGCACGTACAGTCTCTCATCGAGTCGAATGCTGAATGGCCGCATTTTTCATTTAAATGGTTATTGAATTATCTTCGGATTGTCATAGCGAGCACACTGGGTGTATGGTTGTTTACACCTCCGTAAAACTTGATCTCGTCTTTGATGTATTTAGATTTCCGTACTTACTCTGCTCGCAATTTCATGGTACTGTACTATATGAGCTGCCTAATGATATCTAGAGCTGACCATAGCTAGTAATCTCCACATTTCATGACAGCTCGATCTGGAATGTTTGATAATCGGTTACTCGGGCGATTTTCCCGTCAAGTACCCGGCAGTTATTCGGTACAAAATTAAAATATTGTCATGTTGTAAAATTTGAATTTACTAGAGCGAGGTAAATGCGAAATTTACAACATGATACTATGTTGTAAATTTTGCATTTACCTCCCCCTAGTAAATTTAAAATTTATACAACATGATGATAAATACGGTGGTATATTTAGAACACGCAATTACTTTTTTTTAAATACCAGAAAAAAAATTATCTTGTGAAAACGACATATATAATTATCTTGTGAAAACGACTTATTATCTTGTGAAAACGAGATATTATCTTGTGAAAACGACTTATTATCTTGTGAAAGCGAGAAATTATCTTGTAAAAACGAGATATTATCTTGTGAAAACGAGATAAATTCTTGTGAAAACGAGAAATTTTCTTGTGAAAACGAGATATTAACTTGTGAAAACGAGATATTACCTTGTGAAAACGAGATACATGTATTATCTTGTGAAAACGAGATATTAACTTGTGAGAACGAGATATTATCTTGTGAAAACGAGATAATATATTGTGAAAACGAGTTATTATCTTGTGAAAACGAGAAATTATCTTGTGAAAACGACATAATATAATAAGTCGTTTTCACAAGATAGTTTCTCGTTTTCACAAGATAATTTCTCGTTTTCACAAGATAATATGTCGTTTTCACAAGATAATATCTCGTTTTCACAAGATATTATGTCGTTTTCACAAGATATTATGTCGTTTTCACAAGATGATATCTCGTTTTCACAAGATAATATGTCGTTTTCACGAGATAATAAGTCGTTTTCACAAGATAATTTTTTTCTGGTATTTAAAAAAAAATAATTGCGTGTCCTAAATATACCACCGTAGATAAAAACCTGTGTACTGATTTTATTGAGACCAGTTACGGCTGTCAAAATCCACAGATGTTAAAAAAAAAAACATTTATATGTGTTTAAACCTAAAATCTAACCTCTAATATTGAAAAGTTTAACTTTAGATTTAAACTATTGAGATACATTACATCTTTGAAAGCACTAAACGATAACGCCTCCAACTTTGGTTTGAAAAATGAACATATTTTAATTTAATTTAAAAAAAAATTTATTTCAATTGATTGTCATGTTCTCAATTTTTTTTTAAAAGAAAGAGTAACTGAGAACATGTTCTAAATATTGTATTAGCTCCCACGATATAATAATGATAGATGTTACTCCTCTCTATCCTTTAATTGAATAAAATTTGTTACAAATTTACAAAACAGGTCAAAGGATCAAGAAACCTTAAATCAAAATTTTAATCAAAGTGTTTAATAACTGTTCATTTAATCTTCAAATTTGCAATGAGCAAAACTTTTGTGAAGCAAAATTATATTGTTAAAAAAAATCAGTTTCGAAATGCTTGACTTCTTTAACACTTTAGTACAATGAAACATTAAGATAAAAAAAAAACATTGCTCACAATACAGTTGGGATTAGAACAAATACGGTCCTCTAAAACACCAGAGATGGGATCCCGTGTAATAGCAGAGTAAGCATCCCCTGTCGACCTATCACACCCGTCGGGTTATTCTTGTCACGATCTTGCAAACGGAACTCTGCGCTGTTTGAATATATTGGTCTTACAATTTGTATAAAAAAAATCACTCAACATTAGACTTAATTATTATTTGTTTATTTGCTGACAAGATCATAACACACATTAAGACAACAGAAATATCAAAATTTTGATTTTAAAAAACTCCCAACAATAATAAATGATTGATATAGAATTGAAGGTGTAATTTACAGATATTTGTTAAAAATATCTTAGAATGAAACAACTTTAAAAAGTTCATTTGGAATAGAGATGGAAGGTTTTCTAAAGGGAACAAAACATCTGTAGGCAAAGTTAAATGGGGTCGAATAAACTATGCGCCTAGCAAGGGTAAACACAAAGCAAAACTTTTATAATTTCATAATATGAATATTTTTTAATCATACATAAAGCATTATAAAGAACATTCCATAGTAATATTTAATTTTCTTTACAAAACTTTTTTTACTTTCTTGTAGAGATAAAAAAAAATATCCGGCTAAAAACGGTCGAAGAGAAATTATCAAAATTTGGTGTTGCAAAATAAGCACATTAATACCATTATTTAGTTTCTATAATAATTAATATTACGTAAAATAAGGTCAAAAATGTATAAACAAATCATTATCATAATATACGTTGAAGTATGTTGCATAGATATCGGATATTCTGCACTTCCTGTAAATTAATTCGTCTGTTAGAGGGCAGCACTATGTAATCCAGTAGAATGATGCGGCAACTGCAATGTTTTTACTAGAAATTCACTCTCATATACTGTTAGATTTGACACGTCTTTAATCCAATCATTTTTCTCAAGCATTATTTGGATATTTGGGAGGACCAGCTGAAATAAACGGTAAATATTGATGATGTCATGTCGATAGTGAAAATATTTTCAATATTGATTTTTATGTGGTTATGTTACACGCAAGAATATTGATGAGGAAGAGAATAAATGCAGCTTAATTTTTACATCTTCATCTAATTTGATAATTATTTGCAATTGTTAAACAAGACTTATCTCTAAATGAGCATGCAATGTAGAACAATTCTTGATTTGCCTGTGAGTATGACAGCTGCTGTTCCATGCTGATATGTGCTCCGCAGATTTCATTAATATGAGTCACAGGGTTTTGATTCTGTAATAAATCTTCTAATCCATAGTATAAAATAACACAAAGTATCCAACTCTGAATTAAACAGGGTATCCTCTACCTAGTACCTATAAATCATAATCATTTACACATTCAGTGGAAATGCACGGACATATACTATAATTTAATACCATTGTCTTCTATGATAATTTATCTACACAACCAATCACTCCATGAAATGGTATGTCACCACAGGCACTTGTTTCAAAAATAATTTTTTAAACTCCGAATTACCCTCAGAAACGCTCTCATCTACACTTTCAGATGAAATGCACTGACAAACTTATTACCATTGTCTTCTAAGATAATTTATCTACACAACCATATACGGCATGTATGTCTTTGTTTTCATTTATCTCCGTTAACAGCGTCAAAACTCTGCCCACCGAGTGGAAAGTGGAACTCAACCACTAAATGTTATGTGGTAGTCGCAGTGTTTTTATGAAAAATGAGACGTAATCAAATTTTATCTATTTAATGCAATAAATTAAATCTGGAAATGAATTTTTAAAATCACTGATTTATTTAGTTTTGCTCTTTGCCTGAGATTAGCACATACCATTTCATGGTAAGGTTGAGTTCCTGTAGTTTTTATAGAGTTACCTATAAATTTTTTTTTTATCAGATCTCAAATATAGTTTCAGGAAAAGTGAATGAAGCACCCACTATTCATTTTGTAGTTGAAAATTGGTCAACAAATATATTTTAGGATGAAAAAATTATAGGTATCCAAGCATTTAGAGAAAATTGCATCGTTTTTTTTTTTTTATACGTGTATGGTACTTTAGTTCTTCTGCTTTCTTAATTGTAATGTAATACAAAGTGTAAAATGCTTGTGCTATCATTGTAAGACATCAAAGTTTCAGACTTGCAATTTCAGCAAAGGAAAAACCAGGTTAATGTTTTTGGAGCAGGTTAACAATTTTGGTGCAGTTTTTGGTGGAAGTCTCATTTCTGAGTAACAATAAGCCCTATGTTGACCAAACTTGCATGGATGGTACATCTTAGGATGCACACTACAAGGCTTGCTTCGGATGCTTTATATAATTGACATTTTAAGTGAAAGGTTTATGTTTTTGGTGCAGAGTGGATTTCCAAGTAACTATGAGCACTATGTGTGACCAAACTTGCATGGATGAATTTTTTTTTGAAAACCTTAAACATTTTCTGGTATGTGTGTGTTAAAGTTTTGTGTGCAGGTTTCATTTCCAAACTGGATACCATTGACCAAATTCAGTGTCATGGATGCAACTATGGAAGTCGGATGTAAACAGGGTGAACAAAATGTTTTTGGTGAATTCATTTAAAGAATTATGAGCATTAGTGATAATGCATGGAGATACATCTAAGGATGCATACTACCAGATTGTGATAACCTGACCTACATTTTCTCTGTCAGGAACAGTAAAGTTTTTGTGTCATTTCAAGAAGTTGACCAAATTGCATGGAGTTTGATGCACACTAATGGACTTGCCAGATGCTGAATTTGACATACATTTTAATAAGCACACTAAAAGTTATGATGCAATTCTAGAAAATAAGGCTTATATAAGCCAAACTTGCACAAATTTGCTATAGAAATCAATAAACAAGTTGGGAAAGTGGACACAAGGCTTGATTGACGTGGATACTACCGCTCTTTTGTGGGGGATTGAAGCTAGCTAAATTTCTGGGGGCAAGTACATTGTCTCAGTAAAGATAATGTTAGGCAATTTAATGTTAATTTCCATGTTTTGACATGATATTGAACTCCAAATGGTAGATTGTCAAATACAAAAGTCAGCACTATATTTTGGTACTAAAAATTGATTTTTTGAAAATTTAAAAGCTTAATTAAAAATATGGTTAAAAATGTGACAATTAGGATTGACCATAAATATATAAGGCTGGTTCAGCGATGTTAGTGAGGTATTCCACCAGGATTTTTTACTTATCCATCTCTAATAAATGCTACAATGACCGATCTTGCATTTATGTGTAGCACATCTACCGATTCCTACCTCCTCTACAAAAATTTCATAAGTAAAGTATTTTTGGTATTGTTTTCATGATGGGTAGTCCATTGAAGTTTATATATAGGTCTATTCCAAAATATAAAATCAAAATTGCATAAATTTTGCAGATGTACACATTTTGTTGGTTAATTGTGTGACTTAATTTGCCTTACTTAAAGACAACATTCGTTGAGGTGAGCTCTGTAATCTCTGATTACCTATGTGTACATATATGGTATTTTAGTTCTTCTGACAACGACAACAGTAACATAATATGAAGTGAAAACATTGGTATATGTAAATTTCGTCTACATTACTTTAAATATTTTGTTGATAAATATTGGTACATGTATTAAAGAACCCTGATTAATATTGAATTTTAAGCATAATTCTTAGACTTCATATAATTGAATCTTAATTTAAAGAGATTTCCTTCTTGGCTGCAGAGTGGATTTGCAAGATATGTGTCAGAGAAATTTTTTGAAAACCTTAAACATATTCTGTATGTGTGTGTTTTCTGTGTGTCAGAGTTGTTGAAACTGGAAATTCAATTTATTCATAACGAAAGTAAAAGGGTGTCAACAAAAATGTTTCAGGAATTTAGATTACACTTTGTCATCATTTGTTGTGTTTGACAACTAATGGAAACATTAGAATTACTGATAAATCACTTTTTATTTGTCAGCAGTGCTTGTGTCTTCAGAAGTTATTGATGGAGTTTGTCCTGGCCACGTTCTGTAATTTAATAGCACGCTAATCATGATAATTCTAGAAAATGTAGCCAGCTTATAATTTGCTATAGAAATCAATAAACAAGTTGGGAAAGTGGACACAAGGCTTGATTGACATGGATGGCTATGGGGACAGATTGAAGCTAGCTTCTGAGTACTTTGTTTCAAAAGATCATGTTAGGCCTGTAGTTAATGGCCAGTGACATGTATTTGTCTAGTTTTCAACAAAAGTCAGCACTATAATTTGGTACTAAAACATTTTTTTTAATCAAAAGTTAGCCAATTATAGCAAAATGATGAACATAAAAAATATTTGAATGAAGTTATAATTTATGTCAAACTAGTAAATAACTTTAGACTAGTTCAACTTTCTTTTTCCTGTACTTTACGGCTTTAGCAGAATTATGTAGAAAATAGGGTATTTTAATGTCATTCAATTTTAAATCATATAAAAAGTAAACCGGATACCTATATTAAATTTGATATTGATGTAAAGAAGAGGCCATGTACATACTAATTACCGTTTTCTGAGAGACTGTAGGCAATCTGGATAAATTTCCTTTGTCGAATATTAAAAAAACTCCAAAATTCATGACTGGTTTTCTTAATTTTTCATTGAAAATGACAGTCTAAAATACAGTTTTTCATCTTTTTTACCCACAAATTATGCCCCGAAACACCTTATTTGACCAAGCTAAAGTTGTAAAGCATCAATAAAGGAATTTATTTCTCAAGTTTGATAAATCTGTAGGCACCTTTCATTTACTAGATCTTGACCTTAATTAAAGAGTGACAAAACAACTTCCATTTTTGAGCTCTGACCTTGGACAGACTGCATATTTAGTGCAAATCTATATTTCAGTTATATATTACATAATTGTCTTAGCTTGATTAATTAATACTGAAGAACAAAGCTAAAAGTGCATGTACATACCATAATTTTTATTTCAAGGTGCTGATACAATAAAACCAAAGTGATGCTTGCCTTTGATCATACAATCATAGTTCATTTAGTAAAAGCTGCTCCTCTTAATTAAAATATAATTTTATAGATGATACAGATTTTTTCTCTCTCTCCAGTGATTATGGTCTGGGTGTTGTACAGATGAACAGTGGGTTCAGCATCTTTTTTCTGGTATGTATATCATATCTTTGATGCATTTATCAGGTAATTATAACCTACTGAAGTTCTCATAGAGCCTCTATGATATTTGCTATAATTCATTTTGAAATACTAACTTTATATGTTTCAAAGAAGTAGAGAGCTACAGTAAAGCGAAGAGAATTAGACTGTTTCCTTAAGTACAATTTTTGATAAGAAATTTGTTATTTATTTGAATGCTAGTATTACATATATATGCATTAATGTTAATATAGTCTATAGATGTTCAGAAAAATAAGGCTTGATGAAAATGTATGTTTGTAGCTCTCCTGGTCAGAGACCAGAAGAGCTTATGCGATAGTAGTGCGTCCGGTGTCAGTCCGTCTCTCTGTCTGTAATCAATTTTTCAAAATGCTACTCCTCCTACAGTTTTTGTTTGATTTCAATATAACTTGGCACACAAGAAGACTACACCAAGATACACAATTCTGTTTATCTGTTTTTGATTTTCATGAACGGTGTTGCTGTGGTTACTAAAAATATAAATTTCTTTGAAATACTTCAAAAATGCTACTACTCCTACAATATTTGTCTAATTTCAGTATAACGGCACACAAGTTAGTAGACCACACTAACAATTCTATTAGGGATGTCAATTTTACTCGGGCAGCTTAGTCGAATAGTCGGATGCTTTAGTCGAACGATAGTCGAATATTCGTTTAATTTTAATTATTTTTTCATATCATCTCCACTGTTTGTCTTTTACAGACTAGTTTACAATATTTAACCTACGCTATCACCATTATACAACGAATTTCTGATTTGTAAACATGTACCTAGTACAATAAAAACTACATCAATATTTAATTTAAAAATTAATATATTAGCCGCACATTTTATCTAAATGCAGGATATCAAAAGCTTGATTTGTCATTTCTTTACATAACGGTAGTACATGTACCCCATAACTGAAGCCAATTTCTACGTGTCCGTCAATGACCTTTGACAGCTAGGTAAACAATTAAAGTGTCTCTTATAAAAACAAAGAGAGAGAGAGATAGCTTGGGATAAATTTTAATTATGAAATTTTGTGCAAACAATCAACGACTGCATGAAATTAATATCAGAAAAAGAAAACATGGTTTAATTACTCAGTACTCTCATAACTGACCCCAATTTACATGTATTTTGAAGATATGTTTGCCGAAAATACATCGACGTACAAATAATTTCCTTTGAACAGTTATACCGTACCCTTAATTTTTACATATTACGAAAGTATTGATCTGTAAATAAATGAAATGGGCAAATATAAGTTTATTGCCTTGAATTCAATATTACTTTGATGAAACACATTTTTAATGAATAACCGACTAAAGAAATTTTAGTCGATAGTCGTTATGATCGAACAATAGTCGAGTACTCGAATATTCGTTGACATCCCTAAATTCTATATATCGGTTTTAGATTCATTGAACGTTGTTGATGTGATTACTAAAAATAGAAATTTCTGTAAAATACATTCAAAATGGTATACCTCCCATAGTTATACCCCCCGTAAACGAAGTTTGGGGGGTATATAGGAATCACCTTGTCCGTCTGTCTGTCCGTCCGTCTGTCTGTGCAAAATCTTTTTCAGAGGGACATTAATCTACTACTCCACACTAAGATTGCTCATGACCTAAGGGTGTGTCATGACCTTGACCCAAGGTCATTTGGGGAAGTTCAAGGTCACTGGAAGAAAAATTTCATAATTCGTGTCCGGTCCATATCTTTCTTATGGATAAACTTGGTAGGTTCTCATTTCACACAAAGATTGCCCATGACCCAAGGGTGTGTCCTGACCTTGACCCAAGGTCATTTGGGAAAGTTCAAGGTCACTGGAAGAAAATTTTCATAAATCATGTTTGATACATATCTTTTACAGATAAACTTGGTAGGTTCTCATTTCACACAAAGATTGCCCATGACCTAAGGGTGTGTCGTGACCTTGACCCAAGGTCATCTGGGGAAGTTCATGGTCACTGGAAGAAAAATTTTATAATTCAAGTCTGGTCCATGTCTTTCTTATGGATAAACTTGGTAGGTTCTCATTTCACTGAAAGATTGCCCATGACCCAAGGGTGTGTCATGACCTTGACCCAAGGTTATTTGGGGAAGTTCAAGGTCACTGAAATAAAAATTTCATAATTCAAGTCCGGTCCATATCTTTCTTATGGATAAACTTGGTAGGTTCTCATTTCACTGAAAGATTGCCCATGACCCAAGGGTGTGTCATGACCTTGACCCAAGGTTATTTGGGGAAGTTCAAGGTCACTGAAATAAAAATTTCATAATTCGTGTTTGATACATATCTTTATTATGGAAAAACTTACTTCTGAAAAACCCAGCGGGGGGTATTTTGTCCCGTTTGGACAGTTCTAGTTTTAGACTGATTTCAGTAGCACTTGGCACACAAGTAGATTACACTAAGATACATAATTCTTTTTATTGGTATTTGATTTCGATAGTCTTATTGCAATCTTGCCACTGAAAAGTCTTAATCAAGGATCACTATTTTATTTATTGCTGTTCAATTCAGTGTTGTAAAGATTCAAGTTCCAACTGCAACTTTTCCTTTGTTATAAGTACAAACCAGTAGAGCTTCAGTCTCAATAGAGACTTCTGGTTTGGTAAAGATCATGTATCTATGTACCTACCGCCAGTTTTTCAGACCATAAACTTTTACATGGTTTATGTTAAACCATATAATAGTCCATGATATTATTAATAGTTTAAACCATTTGTACAGTAAGTGTGGTTGTGTAAAAGGTTAATTAATAGAAAAACAACCTGTATTACATTCTTGTGCATAAGAAAATCAATTATTAAAGCTATTGATGGAGAACAGTGTAAGTATACTAATAATGCAGCTGAAGTAATAACTCAGTGTACCCTTCAAGTGCTGTTGTAAAGAGTGAAATGTTGCAAAATTATTGATTGACATGAAATGATAACAGAAACCGAGTACAAGAGACCAGTAGACCAGCAATTGCACTGGTAGACCATTTCTGATTCACATTGATTTCTTTCTTGAAGGTGTGATTCAGCATTATGTCTGATATTGAGGATGAGATCAACTTGGATGATGTAAAGCCTGAGCCATCAGAACCATATTTAGCTGAGGGAGCGTGTGGAGGGGACCCCCCAGGGAGGCCATTCTCTCCCCGCAGTGACAATTTTAGCCTGGAGGTGCAGTTTGAGGAGGAGAGTACGAGGCACCCCAGTGAAATCAGTACCCTGTCTTACCAGAATCTGCTGGAGGAGGGCGAGGGGTGTGGTGTAGTGTTATCTCGCCAAGAGAGTGAGGAAAGCACAGATTCCACACCTTCCGATTTTGTAGAATTCCCAAGAGATATTACTCTAGACTGTGATATTAAGGACTTACCAAGTGCAATATCATCCAAAAGTAAGCTGGACGCCTGTGAGGAGTTTGTGATGAATGAGAGGCTTGATATAATGGTGACAAAAAATGATTCAGATCAAATCAGTAACCAACCTGTTGTAGGAAGTGAAAGTAGTTTTGTGCAATCTGAGAAGGCAAAGGAATGTCTTTCTAAAGATCCATTAGTTATCAAAAGAAATAGTTTAGAAATTCGAAATAATATTCCAGTGATGGGGGAAGTCAAAAGTTATGAAAAAGATATTGATAGTGTAATCTATAATGTTCAGGGGGCAAAGCCTAAGATTAGGTCAGGGAAACAGTCTCCAGGTTTGGCATGTAGGATAGGGGAGGGATCCACTGGAAGTGGAAGTGATAGGGAAGGATCTGTTGGGAGTGGAAGAGAGGCATCAAGTGCTGAGAGAGACCTGGACAAGTCTGTTCACAATAGGCTGACCAAAGTTGCTGACAATTTAAGTAACACAAGTGATGGAAATCGAACTGAGGACACAATAGAAGAGGAGGAAGTTGTTCAGTTGGTGAAAATGACCAATGTTAGACCCCATTGTTTTATACAACCACATGTGCAAGGGAATGAGGAAGATTTAGTAATTGAAGACAAAGATGTGAAACAAGTTGAAAAGCAGGAAAATGCTGTGAACAAGTTATCATCCCCCGGAAATGAAGTGGAAAATGAGTATGACTATGTGAAATATGCCAGAGTTCAAGATGGGGACTCTTATGTAGGAATGAGATTAGCATATTCAAGTGCAGAAGAAGCAAAGAAAAATGGTATGACACTCAGTGGATTTTCAAATGTGGATGATTTTTCAAGAGAAAATTCACCTGAGAAAACTCTATGTCTACAAAAAATGGATTACCCAAATGCAATACAGAATGTAAATGATGACACATTAACTGAGATTCCCCTTGACACAGCCGATAGTCCCCTAAATGAGAAGCAGGCCTTCTCCTTGTCCCCAGAAAATACTGAATGTGACAGTGTGGAAGTAGAGAGTATCATTTCTGAGGGTGAGAAGAACAGCATAGGAATGCCAATGGTGGAGGATGGGTTATCCAGCAGTCAGACCAGTGATACAGAGGAAGGTCCCTCATCAAACAATGTCTACAAATCACCAACAGCCAGGCTACGCTCCAAGCAGAAAGCTGACCTGGACCAGGAACTAGAAAACCTGGACAGAGAGTATGGTATCAAGGAAAAGAGTAAGCCAAAGGAAATGGACACAAAAGCCATCATGGAAGATCTGAAGTCCAAGAGAGAAGCATTAGACACTGCCATCGCTGATATTAAGACAGCCATCCAACAGAGCAAGACTACCACACAGCCTTACAAAGATGATACGGATGAAGATGAACCTGTGTGGGTCAAACGGTAAGGCAGAACCCATACAATAATGAATTCATTGATGTAAGCGTCTGAGGAATGGGGGGTTAATGTGTAACTGAGGTTTATTTCGAAAGATTTAGAACAATGTGTTACATCTGAATGTTAATCTATTTCTCTTTTCTTTTGCAGAGAGGAGTCTAATCCTGATAAAAAGCAAAACTTAGAAAGTGTGCAGGAAAAGCTTACTAGGCTCCAGCATGAAGACACAAAACTCAGAGAGGAGGAAAAGGGTAATATAAATGTCTCAAGATGTAAGGATTTTACATGTGCTGAACACTGATATTGATTGATTTTCGGATTTTCCTGATTTTGAAGGGTATACCTATCTAAAAAAAAAATGGTATTGAAAATATTCATCTTCTCATTTTTTGATGAAATCACATTGTTTGTTTTGAACAGTTTATCAGATGGAGAATGAGAAAGACAAACTGTTGGAGAACCAGTTCAGTAAGAACGATGGGAAGAAATACCAGGTTCCCAGAGGTAGGGCAGATAAACGTCACAGACATTTACTCTTACCACGGTAAATGGGTTTTAACACCCATGTAGCTCTTACTGATACATTTAAAGAAATGTAAAATTAAAAAAAGCTTCTGTGAAAGATACATTGCATTCAAAGGAAAAGATCAGTGATCAGATTTTTTTTATAATTGGAGAAAAGTACCAGTATATGATGAAGGCCCACTTTGTGCTATAACAAAAGAGGCCTTTTATTCCAGTCCATATTGATAGAGTCAGTCACTTCACAAGTTATTAATATCGATAAGTTTACAGGATCTGGATATGTCAAGTTTTTCCTGGACATAATTTCTGAATCTAGGAAAATAGAAACTTAGAAGCTTGTTGTAAGACAAAGTTTGATAACTTTATATGAATTACAGTTGAATAGATCAAGTTTCATGATATGCCATTCTTAGTACTGTATATACTTGCGTATAAGTCAGATTTTTGGGAGTTAAACTTTGGTCCAAAACTCTAGGTCCGACTTATTATATGCAAGTTATAGAAAGGCTGATATTTTAGATGGTTAATCCCTCTAATATAAGCTTAAGAAATACATCCGGCTTATAGGCAGACCGACTTATAAGCGAGTATATATGGTACAGAAAAATTGCCAAGTTCAGACATGTTATGTATATGCCTTTCTTTAGTACATTTCAATAAGAAAAAAAATCAAATTTACAAATTTTATCTCAAATTTTTAAATAGATATGTAAAGGGTTTTAAACAAGCCTAATGAATTTTTATGCAGAAATTTTGTTTGTATATCGGTAATATTTCAGTCATATTCATACTTTAGCTGCACATTATAGTTTTACAAACATTCGAAAAATGTAGCATGTCAGTCTCATTTCATTGAAATGCAGTTGTTGTATTCTGATAGATAGTATAAATAAAGATTAGCAATTATAGATTTCATTGTAGCAATAAATAGTGTATAGTAATACTAACAAAATATTGAGAATAATACTAAATGACATAGTAGTTTTGATCATAGAAAATTCAGTTTTGTAAATTATGTCTGTTTGCGATGCGCAGATGCGCAAATTTTTATCCTAACACTAACTTAGCATGATCTGAAATTATTGAAATATAGCAAAAATAACATCAGTGTAGAAGTAAGATTTTATATGTACTTTATTGTACCTCTTTGCATGAATGAAACTGAAAACAATTATGTTCAATGTACATTAAGTAAAGTTGTATGGCAATGCTGAGTCCAGAATCATCAATAAAAGCAAGTTTTAAACAGGGGTCAGCTTTTTTTACTGAATAAGACTCAAATGCCTGCTCTAAAGCCCTCTAGTGAATGTTTTAGCTCACCTGAGCAAAAGAAAGATATTCAGGGTAAAATATTTTGGCAAAGCATAATCATAAAATGCTAAAATGATGTCACTGTGACTTGAATTAGACCAATTAAGACATTTTGGAAAGATACATCATTTTACAAGGTCTGATGATTAATCATTTCATTCTGTGCAAGATGTGATCTGAACACTATTTACTGATGTGGAGATTTATCATTCAAACTTTGTCAGTTGATGCATCTTGGGTCTTTGGTGAATGTTTACCAAAAAGTAGTTCAAAGTGACCTACTTATAAAAATTATGGTTCTATTAAAATACCTGAGGTACTTTTAGAGACTTCAAATAGAAGTGATAGAATGTACAATGTATGAAAAGAGCATTCAAGGCCCGTGGGTGTCTTTTTTTTCTTAAAAACACCGACACTCTTTTGTATTCTTATGAATTCAAAAAATATTTAATTTTTAACTCCGCACAAATGCACTTCTTCAAACTTTCATATCATATAGCTAACCCAGGTGCCTTATGGCAGGCAATAAAACTTTGTGCACAGTAAGACTTGGAATTGAATCATCATATAACTTCATTTTGTATACTGGTAATAATTTATAAAGCTAAAAATGAATTCAGTTTCACTTTGATGCTCCTTTCAGCCCCCTTAAAATTTATCTTAAAATTCATATATAAATTACAGATTGGAAATTTGGAATAACATAGGCCATGGTACTTTACAATTCTACTGATATCAAGCTTCCAATGAGGATGTTCATACATGTATTACATGTAGACATGCATTCTGTTTATGTTACCTTGTGTTTCATGTAATTTTAACTATATAAACGCATGTTGTATGAGTTCATTCTAGTGCATGCTTTCAACTCTTTTGTTCTAGGTTATGATTCAGATGATGATGAGGAAGGAGTACAATATACACGCAACATACAAGGCAAAAAATATGCGTCTCTCCCCCGCGATGATTCATTTGATCACGGACGCTCTAGACAGGTGGCTGTTAATGGCTCTAGCCATAATCAAATGCAAAGTGACTATAGCTCAGATTCAAATGAATATAACTACTCAAAGCGCAATCGACTTAATTCAGAGTCTGACACTGATGACTATGGCAGTGATGTTGAGGCGCCCTCTAAAACATCTTATGTCAAGCAAAAGCCTGGAGGTATTCCGAAAGTTTCTCAAGTTCAAAACAATTATATATATGTTGTGTACTTGGATATTTTCTTTCGTATTTAATTGGATGCTTACTTTCTTCTTTGGTTATGTATTCACATGTAATAATTTTTTCATATAAAAAGAAAGCTTGAACTTGGAATGGCCTGCTATTTAACTGACATGATAAATGTTGTTAAAAAAAATGATGATTACTTTCATGCATGTCCGTGCATCTGATGTAATGAAATAAATCATGCCATGACATATGAAATGAACATGCATGAAGTCTAAAGAAGAAAAAAAACATACAGTGTATTGAAATGTCTTGAATAATTTTTTACTTGTAACTCAGCATTGGACATTTCTTGTAGACTTTGATACAGATGAGGAGACAGATGTTTTGTTACAAAAACAATATCAGAAAGACAGTCAGGTAGACATTCCAGAGTTAACTCATCCACCAGTTAATAGAAGTGCTCAGGTGAGTTAATGAAAACTTTACATAGGTAAGACATTAAGTTATTTCTTAAAGCTTCAGAGAGTTAGAGGATTTAAATAGTCTTAGCAACTATGGGTAGTAGGGATCAAATATTTAAAATCTTGGAACATTCTATTGTTACAATACAAAGAATATCCAAAATGATGATGAGATTCACATAGAGAATTTACAAAAAATCCATTACTCGGTATTTTCCAAAAAAAAGGGGGGGAGGGGTATTTTGAATAATTGAATATGATCACATGTTTGATATCAAGTGTAATTATAAATTCAGCTAAATATCTGTATTTTGTTGCTAATACTGAATCTAAAATGAATGGGTGTTAGTCAAGCTAATTTATTTCAGCAGGAAGAAAGAAGAACTAAGGCTAAAGAAGGTGAGAGTGAGTCATGTAAGCTATCAATTTCAGATTAATTGAGTGGTGTTTTTCTAAAGCTAGCAGTGTTAGCACAGGCAGGCAGTGTATCTATGTAGTAGCTGCTATTTTATTGCCTCCTCAGGTAAGAGATTTACTGAAAGGGCAATAACTCTTTCCACAATCTGATGCTGCGATTAGTCTTTTAAGCTCTACATGTCAAAGACCAGAAGAGTTTAGGTAAAGTAAGGTGTCAGTTGTCTGTCTTTACAGTTGTATGTCTATACGAGGGGTGATCAAAAAGTTCGCAAACTATCTCTATATGCTACAAAACCACGATTCAGATTAGAATAAAATTTGGTACATACATAGCCATACACAAGTTCTATAAGTAGCATATGCTGAATAAAGTTTTGCTTCTTGTCTGTGATGTCACTGTGTGAAAATGACGTTACTATGTAGGTCGCTTTTGACGAAACATGGTTGTCTCAGTCGTACTCCTTTAACAAACGACTGTACACTTTATTGTATATCTTAGAAATCCATTTGCATTAGCATATGATAATTTGTACACAGTTTATTATGGCAGATGACTTTCTATAAATTCAATCAATGATTGGATTGCTCGTTTTAGTGAAGGAAGGCAGATGATAAAAAATGATACTTGTTATGTTGCCCAGTGAAAGCAAGTTTCAAAAGAGATGTGTTTTTAGTGAAGCAATTTGCTATCAAAGACCTCCAATTTACACTTTGAAAAATAGTTGAATATTTGAATAATAATATAACTATTAAATACGTAAGATATTGTTTACTTTAGATTTTAAACATATTAGATATGATAAAAAGGAGGCACCCATTCTTTATCCACCTTGAATAAAGGTCTCTCTCGAGACAGAAGATTTGGGTTTTAATGGTCGCCATCCTTATTTTTGGAAAGAATATTCTTATCCACACATTCTGTTGCCGAGATTTGACCATTTCTGACAAATGAACTGTTCTTATTATGAAAATTAATTTACATGGAAAGAAATATAAAACTCAGAAAAATCTTTTAGCTTTTGTGACATAACGCTATGGAGGGGGTCACATGACAGCCTATATAATGTGATTCGCACATGAGCAGAACAGTGGTTGATGTGCATTAAAATTGGAGAGGACTAATTTAAAATATAATCCAACACTGAAACCAAATATTTTTTCTTTTATAGAAGTTAATCAATTAGTTCGCGAACTTTTTGATCACCTCTCGTATATCTTTATAGGTGTAAAGATAGTCTTATAGTCTGTCAACATTTTTTTCAAAATGGCACTACTCCCCCAGACCTACAGATCTGATTCAATTTCAGCATATACAATGTGCACTAAACAATAGTATGTTAATCTGTTTATTAGTTTTTGATATGACAAACAGTGTTGTCGTGATTACATCAAATAGAAAATTCTTTGAATTCTTTCAATGATACATTGTATTCCTCCTAGAGTTTTGGTCTAAATTCAGTAGGATTCAATACACAAGATACATTATTCTTTTTATCAGTTTCTAATGGAAAACATACACCAAGTACACGCCAGTAGAGCTTCATTGTTGTTAGATTTAATTAATGTTTTCCATTCCATTGTCAAACTGTATTGCTAGGGAGTTAAAACGAGAAATTAAGAGAGTAAACTTTCACCTTCAAGGCATATGAATTAAATAGAAAGTAATTAAAAACATAAGATATTTTTTTTTAAAAATTGAATGATTTTGTCATAAAATGAGTTTTTAAAATCAAGTACCGTATAAGTGGAAATTTTAGCGAGACGCAAATTTAATGATTTCTACTTAAAATCTGGTAGTTTATTTTTAGCAAGAAGTAATTTTAGTGATTTTAAAATGCTAACAAAAGAAGTTATTACAAATAATGCACAATTAATTATTAGCGATATTCAATACTGCAATGTCAGCACCCTTGCTAATAATGCCAAAATTAAATCTTTGCTAAAAATTCTACTTATACGGTAATAAAATTAAGCTTTAGGATATGTTTTAGTTCTTGATTGAAAGATGGGTTCAAATTCAAGCAGAGGCAGAACTGAATCTCTCATAGCTGTTCATGAGTAGAATGCTATACATGAAGAAAGTCTTGGGTTTCTCAGAAAAAAGTTGAAAAGCAGTTTTCTATATATGATATCTCTGACACAGTGACATTAAACATGAGGCCCATATATAACAACTGTCAACGGAATTAATTTTGCTCATTGAATTTTTGCTCACCTGAGCTTAAAGCTGAAGATAGTTTTTTTTATCACCTGTTGTCCAGCATCCATCCATCTACATGTATCTGTCTGTTATATTTTCATACAGTATTTATCCTTTGCTTTTAGATTAAGGGGGATCATTAAAACTCGTATGTCTCTAAGTCTGACAGTTTATCCGTCTCAAAAATTTCAACCTTTCTCTTAACTTTTGAATTCATATTTCACATGTACATTACGTGTGAAACAACCATTTTAAAATGTACATGTACTAAGATTGATCCCATGACACAGACAGACCTTAAAAGAATTGGCATACTTTTTAAAATTTTTAACATCTAGGTCATAACATTTGAATATGAAAAGATAAGAGCTGAGGATAATTAAAATTTTAAGGAAATTGAATCTTAAAAGTATTATAAATGATGCTAATATTTGCTCTGGGTAGCTCAAATATTGACAATGGTGACAAGCAGCCACACTCCTGGTAAGTCATATAACACGTGTTCATTAGAGTTTCTCTCTAATTAGTGTATACACTTGATTATCTGCCTTTATATACTTCTCTACTTAAGATTTGGGGGGGGGGGTGGGGGTTCAAATTGATCTTGTTTTTTCTCTCTTATTTATGAAGAGCATTAAAAAATTAAATTAAAAAAAAAAATATTTAGGGGAGATTAATTTTCTTAGAAATATGTCCTTCATTAACTACCGTCCCTCTTAGCTAAACTTTTGATAGAGTAGAACTTGTGCACAAACTATAGTTTATTGTTCTCTTTGTATCAGTGAAATTTTGCACTACATTTTAAACTCAGTATTTTGCTTAAAAGCTTAATGCTTACAAAGTTATCTTTCATAGATGTTCTCAAGTTGGTTTTCTTCTCTTGGTACATGTGTTGTGAACAATCTATATTGAGATATTCAAACTATTGTAGGAGTTATTGTTCTTGGTACATGATGTTGTAATCAATCTGTACTACTAGTATTGCAGTAGTTATTGTTCTTGTCATGTGTAACGTGATATTAAAATTTGTTTAAATAGAAAGCCGTCCAATGTATAAAAATAAACACCATGTATCTATCTGTTCAGCAGTGATGTTTTTAATACTGTTTCTAAAACCACCCATATTTTAACAATGCTTTAGATATACATGTACTACATGAATCATGTTTATCTGCATATTGTGCAATGTGTCAGAGAAAAGTTTGTAATTTCACCAAGTAACCTCAATATTCCCATTGTTTTTCATGCACTGAATCATGGAGCTCATTACTAATAATCAGCTAATTACTCTTTTGTGGTAAGTGCTAGCACAATAACAATTTTACATTGTCTTGGAAGCTTTCTCAATATATATAGCATCATATTCTACTAACTTAAAAGAACTATATGCAGTTAGAGGATTTTTCACAAACATGTCAGAGTTAATAAGAAATTTGAAGGCAGTAGGAACTAGGTATAAAAAAATAAGATTCTGTAGAAAAACTACATTAACTTTTTTTGTGATTTATGCTATTGAAGAGATTTTAGATTGTACCAGTTTTTTTGGCCAACCTTGAAAATATTTGAGGACAAATTTGGACAGCTTTGATACTTCAGTTAATTTGAAAAATAATAAAAATATTTTTTTGGTTTAAAATTAAAAAAGAAAATGTTTTTTAGTACATTTGTACTTCTAATAAATATCTTTACTATGAAAAACTTTTATTAAAATTTTGGTATATTAGTCTTACTGCATATAGTCCTTTTATCACTCATCATTTAAAAAAAGCTAACATTTGTTGGGCTTTTCTGTTAAAGGTTTCTTACACTGAGTAACACATTTCCACTAACATTTTTATGGCTTTGTATGTTTTGTTCCTGTTTTGGATGGTGAACAAAGAGCATGAATTCCCCAGTTTAAAGGATTGGTTATGGTGCATGTTATTTTGGTGTATGCTCTTGGTACAAATTTCTATCGGAATGAAACATGGTGCATCTGTTTAGACTGTGATTAAATGCAGAAGCAAGGTCTCTGCTATAGACTACCTTGGTCTCTGCTTAGGCAAGAATGTCAAGGCATGACTTTATATGCCTCTATATCAACAGATAACTGTTGAATGAACGGTCTTTAATTGCATGAATAAGGAACTTCACATCACGCTTGTGGTCCTTGTGTTAAGTATGCATTATTTTTACAAGTGTACTCTTGATATCTGTAAAAGGACCCCATTAAAACAAACGTTTCTACTTCTGTATATCTTATTGACATTTTTTCAAGGTACTAATTTAAAGAAGAAAAAAAATTTAATCTGATGTACAAATTAAAAAAAATGCCAAGATATGCCTCAGAATAATGTTTTAATCTATTTTTGAACTGTATGTCGGATTTGAATGTCTTATTAACTCATAACAACTTGTTAACCACTCCCTACCATCAGCTCATACATTCAACTCTGTCGTTGACTTGTGTATATTACAGTGATAAAAACCAGAAATGGTGCGTTTGTTTTAATTCATTATAATTTAATTTTTATGCTTATAAGCCTGAGTTTTGAGATAGATATTTACTAAATCAATCCGAAACTATTAATTTAATTTGAAACAATCCTGCAAATATGTTTTATACGTTATGTCAAAAATCTTGACTTGAGCCCATTGCAGAGGTGTCTGAGAGAGGAACGAACAACAACTCTGCATGGGAGATTGCTTGTTAACCTGTTAAAAAAAACCCATATGTGTCTATTTTACAAGTAAAGGTTAGAGTTTTACTCTATAGTCATTTTTCATGATAAAGATTAAATTGGGACTTATAGAGGCATTGTGTTTTTTAAAAAGTATTTTCTTTTTCTAAGTTATTCAGCTTACATGTTGTGGTTTTTGCTTAAAAGTTGTTGAAGTTTACATTCACTGATGTTCACTTATAAATGTTGAAATTGTATTCATATTAGAATGGTTTAAACATTAAAATAGTTTTCACTTTTGGCTGTTTTTAAATTTAAATCAACTAAATTTAAGTTTTCACTACTGTCAGTAAATCAAAAAGTTGAATTTACAAGTAACTCTTAACCAGATTTTTTTTTTTCTTTTTAGTTTTTCACATGACTAATTGATACTATTTTCATTAATAAAATTTTTTATGTGTAGAAGGTGATCAGGGAATTAAGTATGACTGGAGGCTATGTTCAATTCTTATTAAATTGATGACCATAAAAAATTGTTTAATTTCTGCTTAAAATTTATAAAATATTTAATCAAAATTGAACAAAAAATGCCATGTGCATGGCAAAATGGTATTAGATACCATTTCTTGAAAAGCTACATCTAAGGAAGTTTAACAATTTATAGCAACTTTAAAATCAATTGACTAAAAAAAAATCTTCTGTATTTTATGTATAAACTGTGCATAACACTGTGCTTTTAGAAATAAAAATAAAATACCAATTTTTAAGGACAAATCCCTAAATTTGCCTCTCGCTAAAATTTCCTCATACAATGTATGTCTTGCTTCAGTTTTTTGTATGTGCTTTGTAGAACAGGACCAAGGAAGTCTTCATAATGTATTTTACCGTGAGATACAACTAACTTTTTAGGATATGTTTTTGCATGTACTTATACTTAAAAAATGTATCTTTCGCTCTTTAATTTTTATAAGACATTCTTAGCATCACTACTGATACTTTCAGCTTCCATACATGATCCTGAAAATCCCTCAGTCTTAATAGAAGGGGTACTGTTCCGTGCTCGTTATCTGGGGTCTACACAACTGATCTCCGAGGGCCAACCATCCAAAGCAATGAGGATGATGCAGGCCCAAGAGGCTGTCGGGAGAATAAAGGTAAGGTCTCAAAGAGAGGGCATATTGGTAGAGGTTATCTCATGCTCTAATCTAATGGCTACAGTTGTAATGGGACATACTGGTAGATGTTATATATATATACTCTCATGCTCTGCTCTTATGCTACAGTTGTAGAGAGGACATATTGGTAGATGTGATACTCGTATGCTCTGCTCATATTTAAAATTGTAGTGGGAACATATGGTAGATGTTATACTCGTATGCTCTGCTCCACTGTCTTCAGAAATTCTTGTAGTTGTCATATTTGGTAGAGGTTATACTCTTATGCTTTGCTCTCAAGTCTACAATTGCATTTGGTTTTATTGATATAGATGTTATACTTTCATGCTTTGCTCTAATATCTACAATTATTGTACTTTACCATAATAAGATTTCGATAGGAAGTCAGTCTTGTTAGGACAGTTCTAGGTAAAAAGCAGGAAGTTTCACAGCAACAATGGTTTTTAAGTAGTGTGAATTGATAATTTAAAAATACCCTGTGTTAATTAGCCATTGATAAGAGGTAGATCTATCCAATCTTTTGATAACCCTCTGAACCACTGTTGATTGTTCCAAGGCAGAGTTTCCAGGAATTCATGGTTCACCTTTATTAATTGCCTGGTTGTATATGTGTGTAAAAATGACTACAATCATACACCAAATGACCATTGATTTTTTACACATAAAAGACTAATGAAAGTAAGGATGAAAGCTGTGTCAAATTGAATCATAGATTTAATCCAGCAGAAAAATATGGTGCTAGGCATTATTGATTCAAGAACTGCAAGTGGCCATCTTCTGTATTAGTTGTGGAGGCCTCCATTGGTCAACACAGAAGACTTTGTAAATTGGAAAAATGCTAATAGAAATCCCAGTCCATCTCACCAAACTTTCAGATTAACCCTTACCATTACCCCCAGCTGATGTTAGATCAGTTCATTATGATCTCTAAATTGGTCTTCTTGAAAACATCAGTAATGGTTTGATGTAACACTTTGACCTCTGGGTTCAAAGTTGAGTGACCTCTTGAAAGTTTGTGATAAAATATTGCCCACACTGCACATAGATGCATATACACAGAATACCCACTGTTTCATTGAGGGTACTTATGTCCTATATAGGTTTATTCTACAACATAACAACCATATTTTTTTCACACCTTATGTACCATACTGTAAAATTATATTTAGCGTGTACAATATTTGGCGGAAATTGACTTTTGAATAAGTTAGCGTGGATTTGATTTAGCGCATTTCTTTATATTCTTATTTATGTGTATACGTGCAAGACATTTAGCTATGCACTTGATTTAGCGGTTGTTGCGATCCGCCAAAGCCGCTAAAAAGAATACAGAGCCAAATATAATACGTTTACAGTATTATGGTGTTGGGTTTGACATCTAGGTTAACTTCAGAACATTATAATTATTCACCAAAAAAAGGTATGGAGATAGAACTTAATTGCACTGTACCCAATACAATAGTAACTGTGTGATCTCCATGTGAACTGTATGCAATTATCCATTCTTGCAAAATAATGGACAATTAAACACATGGATTTTTAAATAAAAAAAATGTTGTTTAACATTCATCTGTATATAAAAACATAGATAACCACTGCTGTCTGAGAGAATGCTTTTTCACTTTTCAGCACCCAGAAATTGTACATTTTAGCATTCTATTCATTAAAATCAACTTTGCTATGTTAAAAATGTAGCTGACTTGAGACTTTATGGGATTAACAACAAGACATTTCATGCATTAACAAAAGTTATTTTTTTCCTTTTTTGACTGTCAGTTTTAAAAGGATATCATTGGTAGCAATGCTCATCTTTTTATAAAACTGATCATTTATGTTTGCAATTAGAAATTTTCTTTTCATTAAATCCTGGATGAAGGGAAATGCTTTATCATCCCTTTTCATTCCCTAATGATACTCTAATTTGGGTACTTGTTTCTTCCTGCCTCTGGTTATAGGCTTCGGTAAGTTGTTCTGTTGTATCATCTTTCTGTTGTAGATCACTTCACTGCCAAATCTTCAATTCGCATTTGCATGCCACATGAAAATTAGTTTCTGTTAAAAAATATTGCAGCTGTTTAATAGTAAAATGATGATTCATTATTTCTCAAAAAGTGGTTAATAATATACCATCTTAACTTGCCAATGGCCAGTTTTATAATGAGCCATGATCACTGTATTTATCAAGGCCTGTATTCTTCAGATGAAGATATATAGACCTCAAGCTTATTTTTCATCATGGAATCAGGTGCTCACCAGGTTTTTCTATTTGACGAATACAATTAAAATGTTCTTTTGGATCCTTGCTTCTAATCATTTTGGTCCCACTGATACATGGAGTAGAAATGAAGTAAACATCTGCAACAGATTTTGTCATTCATTTACAGAACATTCATCTTGTGTTAATTATACTGCATGCATTTTCCATAATTAAGTAAACAACAGTTATTTCTGTTCATCAATACTTCAACATCTGAAACATTTTTCTAGGGAATAAAGTACTCTATCATGAAAATGGAAAATATTACCTAGATATTTGTATCTTTATACATGCAATTGTAACATTTTCTCAGTGTCCATTTAACATTTTGCTTTAGTGTACAGATGGTCTTTAATCACAGCATGTAGGCATTCATCTTTATATTCAAAACAAATTCAATTCTTTTTGTTAGATACTATTAAACACACTTAATGCATGAAGTAGAAAATGTTTTGAAGACTTTTTTTCTTTATGTATGAATAATTTGTTCAAATTTAGCCATGCACTTTCATTGAATAACTCTATATGTATTTAATAGTAAGATAAAAGTTTTTTTTATTTTGTTGAGAGTTATTCAGCTCTAAAATGATTCAATTGTTGTAACAAAATGCTCAAATATACACAAGAGGACATCAATTTTAAGTTTTTGAGCAAGTTTAAAGTTTTGGGAGCAGGAAAAAAAATTTGGAATACGTACATTTTTTTCCCAAGATATGAGTTGACCAAACTTGTACTAGTGATGCATCATTCAGTGCTTTGAATGCTGGATCTAATATGCATTTTCCATTAGACTTAAATTTTTGGTTAAGGTCCATTCTCAAGTGACTGTAAACCTTATATAATTCTTATTTTTAGGTCACCTGAGTCACTCAGGTGACCTATTGCTATCTGTTTTTGTCCGTCGTCGTCCGTCGTATCGTAAACTTTTGAACATTTTCAGCTTCTTTTGCAAATGAACCAATTTCAACCAAATTTTGCACAAAGCATCTATGGGTGAAGGGGAACAAAAATTGTTTGGGGCAAAAAACCACTAAAATTAATGCAATCTTCAAAAATCTTCTTCTTTTTGGACATCAAGCAGTCAAACTGTTTGCATGATTGTAATCAGCATTGAGTCCTTTACCAAAATTGTGAAATTCATGGCCCTGGGGTCAGGGGTTCTTGTACTAGGGCGGGGCTAAATAAGTATATAGTGAAAATGCATTATTTCTTTGAAAATCTTCTTCTCTGCTCCTGGGTATTAAATAAACTAACTAAGTACATAGTTATGATGAGCAAGAGTGCCTCTACCAAAATTGTGAATTTTATGGCCCCAGGGTCAGGGGTTCTGGTGTCAGGGCACTATTGATTATATAGAGGATGAATTCTTTGAAATCTTCTTCTTTACTCCTGGGTATTAAATAAACTAACTAATACATAGTTATGATGAGCAAGAGTGCCTCTACCAAAATTTGAATTTTATGGCCCCAGGGTCAGGGGTTCTGGTGTTAGGGCGGGGCTCTATTGATTATGTAGTGAAAATACATGAATTCTTTGAAAATCTTCTTCTCTGCTCCTAGATTTTATATAATTTAACTAAGTACATAGTTATGATGAGCAAGAGTGCCACTACTAAAATTGTGAATTTTATGACCCCAGGGTCAGGGGTTCTGGTTTTAGGGCGTGGCTCTATTGATTATATAGTGAAAATACATGAATTCTTTGAAAATTTTCTTCTCTGCTCCTAGGTTTTATATAAACTAACTAAGTACATAGTTATGATGAGCAAGAGTGCCACTACCAAAATTGTGAATTTTATGACCCCAGGGTCAGGGGTTCTGGTGTCAGGGTGGGGCTCTATTGATTATATAGAGGAAATACATGAATTCTTTGAAAATCTTCTTCTTTACTCCTGGGTATTAAATAAACTAACTAAGTACATAGTTATGATCAGCAAAAGTACCTCTGCCAAAATTGTGAATTTTATGGCCCCAGGGTCAGGGGTTCTGGTGTTAGGGCGGGGCTGTATTGATTATACATGTATAGTGAAAAAACATTAAATCTTTTTAGGTTTTAAGCAGATGAATTACCTATATAGTTATGAGCAATCCCTAATCTTCAAGAATTGTAAATTTCAAGGCCCCAGGGTCAGTTGTACCATAGTGGGGGGGGGGGGGGGGGGAGGCTGTACTTATGTACTGAAAGTGAATGAATTGTTTGAATGTGCTCCTTGGTATTAATCAAATATTTTTGAAAAGCAAGTATGCCTTTCCAAAAATAGTGCAGTGTGTGGATCTAGGCCTAAGAGTCAAGGGTTCATGTGTGGTAGCGGCACTACTGATTATTGCTGAATATTACTGATTAATTGAAATGCATTTTTTGTTTACCTTGCCTATGGGTATAAAGTAACCAAACTAAGGAACTGCTTGTATAAATGACCAAATTGTAAATAGCATCTGGCTTAAAACATGGATCAAATTCAGTCACTGGGAAGTTGTTGAATAATGCTCAGGTGACCTATAAGGCCCAGGGGCCTCTTGTTAATGTTTTAAAGCCTATAAGGCATGTACATTTTTTTTTGTCAAGCCCTTTTCCCTCTTAGTTTGGCTACGTTATTTTTATATTCGGCATTACATTTTTTGAGGAAGTTTGACCTATACTAGGATGTGCCTATCAAATACTGTTTATTTGTTACAGACACTGGGAACACTCCATTTTGGTAACAAATTTCAGGTATCGTTTCACAAGAACAACTCTCATGGTCTCATAACTTCATGGATTTATTTGTTTTTATTTTTTTTTTTAAATATCTAGCTTAGACATTTTTTAACGTTCATGTAATTTGCTTTTATTTGACGTCCATTTATTACTTGGGCTTGCAGTGTTGTAAAGTTCATGTTCTGTAACTCTATTCCAGATGACACCATGAAACAAACAACTTTGCTCTAACTTAATTTGATTCAACAGGACAGACTTTTTTTTTTATAGGGAACATGCTTATAATGAATTTGTGCTTAGTTAAAGCGAATTGATTTTTAATCCCTATGGTTTTTAGCTCTACTGGTCAGTGACCAGAAGAGCTTATGCGATAGTAATGCGTCTGGCGTCCGTCTGTCTGTCTGTACACAATTTTTCAAAATACTACTCCTCCTACAGTTTTGGTCTGATTTCAATATAACTTGGCACACAAGTAGACTATACTAAGATACATAATTCTGTATATCAGTTTTGGATTTTGATGAACGGTGTTGCCGTGGTTATTAAAAATAGAAATTTTTGTGAAATTCTTTCAAAATGCTACTCCTCTTATAGTTTTGGTCTGAATTCAGTATATCTTGGCACACAATTAGACTACACTAATGTACATAATTCTGTGTATCGGTTTTTGATTTTGATTCCGATGGTGTTGCCGTGGTTACTAAAAACAGGAATTTCTGTGAAATTCTTTCAAAATGCTACTCCTACAGTTTTGGTCTGATTTCAATATAACTTGGCACACAAGTAGACTATACTAAGGTACATAATTTTATTTATCGGTTTTTGATTTCAATGAACGGTGTTGCTGTGGTTACTAAAAATAGAAATTTCTGAGAAATTCTTTCAAAATGCTACTCCTCCTACAGTTTTGGTCTGATTTCAAAATAACTTGGCACACAAGTAGACTACACTAAGATACACAATTCTATATATCGTTTTTTGACTTCAGTGAACATTATTGCAGTGGTTACTGAAAATAGAAATTTCTGTGAAATTCTCTCAAAATGCTACTCCAAATACAGTTTTTGTCTGATTATAATGTAATGTGGCATGCAAGTAGACTACACTAAGAACATAAAGAGACTTAATCAAGGATCAGTATTCTATGTATTGCTATTGTAAAGTTCCAGTTCCCAACTGCTTAAGTACTTTTCTCTTCCTTTGCTATAAGTGCAAACCAGTAGAGCTTCGGTCTCGACAGAGACTTCTGATTTAACAATATTTTGACTACAAATGCTTATACTATGGCACATTTCCTCTGAGGGTAAAAGAAATATCATAAGGTAGAAAGTTTAGCATTAATGATATACTTTTACTTTGAACAGTAAAGAGTCCTTAAAAATATATCAGCTATCTTCTCTATGAGTGCTTATTTTGTTAATACTATCAGACTGAGTGTTTAAATATTTGAAACATAGAAACTTGAAATTTTGGTTATGAATCAGTGAGCACTCTAAATGTCTTTCTTGAGCGAGATAAAGTGTAAAATACTTCTTTGTTTTTATATATATACAAATAGTTATGTATACTGAGGTTTATAATAGAACGTCATGAAATGAAGGAAGCTTTGAGCTCTTATTGAAGTGATGTATAATTATATTAAGTGTAGAATGTCTCTTTTGTACAAGAACTCGACGGCTAAGAAGAGCCTACAGCCTGCCAGTGATGAGGATAATAAACCTAAGGTTTTCTCTCTGTCTGCTTTTGTCCACCATTAGCTTTCTGTTCTACCCCGTAGGAAATCATTAATATTTTGCTGATTCTCTTCTTATTTGGTTCCTTTTAAGTTTCCTTTTGTTATTATTAATGTGACCATTTTCTTTCCATTTCTAAGATAAGATGCTAATGTTCATGCTACACAAACAAGATTGTGATAATTATAAATGAGCTTTGTTGAATATGGTTTTAGCATGGTAAACTTCATTGTGTAAGAGCAGTTTTCTTGTTCATGTATCTTATTCAGATTGCTTTTTCAGTTGCTAGAGTTCAAAGCGTACTTCTATAATAGTGTATAACATGTTTATCCCTCTATTTTTTTCAATAACTGAAGCCACAAAAGATTTGTAGCAAAAACTAGGATTTAAAAAATATCAATGCATAGGCTCCAGTTTGCAGTATTGAACTACACAATCCTAAATGACCAATCAAATTGAAGTGCACAAAAAAAAAAAAAAGAAGAAAATGATCTTTGCAACTCAAAGGGATTAATTTGCTCCTCTAGTCAGATTTATTATTTATTTTTAAAAATTGATTAATACTGTATGCCTGTGCTAAATCTTTGAACAACAATACAGACCTAATGATTCCAGTATGTTCCATCCCTTTTCCTTTTCTACAGAGGATTTGGGATATAAAGATGTCAGTTTGAAAAAAAAATATTACAACAATTTTGTCTCTTCTCTACATTTCATAATGGTACCTCTTCAAAAATACTCTTTTGATACTGGAAAGGACAATTTATTGATGAATAAAGACCTGTACAAAAGCTGCTGTCTAAGAGTTAAATTAAGATTGGTATTTGACGAGTGTTTTTGATAGTCACCATATCTTGGATATATATAGATATTTATTGTACAGAAACATTATAAGTATTTCTTAATAAGACTGTATATACATGTACATAAGTCACCTCAGCAAGAACTAAAAGTAGGTCTTTTATTTTTATTATTCTTTTAATTTAGTTTAATGGTCATAGAAATGCATATGCAAATCACATCAGCTTTGATATTATTGTATTGCTCAAAAGATACATTAATCATTGCTTTTTGTAGTCTTGAAAATAGAAATTGAAATGATTTTAATATGACTTCTCTATCAGCTAATGATCTGTTTTTTATGTAAGCCTTGAATTGTTTGTAGGCTCCAGAGGGGGAGAATCAACCAAGTACAGCCGTGGATCTCTTCGTCTCCACTGAAAAAATAATGGTGCTAAATACAGATCTTCAGGTAAAGTATATCCCATTTGCAGGATATCTTGAAAACTTATGCTTGGCTATCTATAATACCTGTATATTAGGAGGAGATGGGGGCTCATGGATTCATGATCAAAATTTGCCTAAACTGCATGTTCTGTATTTTTAGGTCACCTGAGTCACTCAGGTGACCTATTGCTATCTGTTTTTGTCCGTCGTACGTCGTTCGTCGTCAATCGGTCGTAAACTTTTGAACATTTTCAGCTTCTTCTCTGCAACCAGTGAACCAATTTCAACCAAATTTGGCACAAAGCATCTATGGGTGAAGGGGAACAAAAATTGTGAATTTCATGATCCCTGCCCCCCTGGGGCCTGGGGGTGGGGCCAAAACCACTAAAATTAATGCAATCTTTAAAAATCTTCTTCTTTACTCCTGGACATCAAGCAGTCAAACTGTTTGCATGATTGTAATCAGCATTGAGTCCTTTACCAAAATTGTGAAATTCATGGCCTTGGGGTCAGGGGTTCTTGTGCTAGGGCGGGGCTAAATAAGTATATAGTGAAAAAACATTATTTCTTTGAAAATCTTCTTCTCTGCTCCTGGGTATTAAATAAACTAACTAAGTACATAGTTATGATGAGCAAGAGTGCCTCTACCAAAATTGTGAATTTTATGGCCCCAGGGTCAGGGGTTCTGGTGTTAGGGTGGGGCTCTATTGATTATATAGAGAAAATACATGAATTCTTTGAAAATCTTCTTCTCTGCTCCTGGGTATTAAATAAACTAAGTACATAGTTATGATGAGCAAGAGTGTCTCTACCAAAATTGTGAATTTTATGGCCCCAGGGTAGGGGTTCTGGTTTTAGGGTGGGGCTCTATTGATTATATAGTGAAAATACATGAATTCTTTGAAAATCTTCTTTTCTGCACCTAGATTTTATATAAACTAACTAAGTACATAGTTATGATGAGCAAGAATGCCTCTACAAAAATTGTGAATTTAATGACCCCAGGATCAGGGGTTCTGGTGTTAGGGCAGGGCTCTTTTGATTATATATTGAAAATACATGAATTCTTTGAAAATCTTCTTCTCTGCTCCTAGGTATTAAATAAATTAATTAAGTACATAGTTATGATGAGCAAGAGTGCCTCTACCAAAATTGTGAATTTTATGGCCCCAGGGTCAGGGATTCTGGTGTTAGGGCGGGGCTGTATTGATTATACATGTGTAGTGAAAAAAAACATTAAATCTTTGAATATTTTCTTCTTTGCTCCTAGGTTTTAAGCAGATGAACTACCTACATTGTTATGAGCAAGGGCCCTAATCTTCAAGAATTGTAAATCTCAAGGCCCCAGGGTCAGTTGTACCTTATATTATATACTGAAAGTGAATGAATTGTTTGAAATGTGCTCCTTGGTATTAATTATATATTTTTGAAAAGCAAGGATGCCTTTCCAAAAATTGTGCAATGTGTGGATCTAGGCCTAAGAGTCAAGGGTTCATGTGTGGTAGCAGCACTACTGATTATTGCTGAATATTACTGAATTGATGAAATGCATTTTTTGTTCCCCTACTCTGCCTATGGGTATTAAGTAACCAAACTAAGGAACTGCTAAGTGTATAGTTATAATGACCAAATTGTAAATGCTATGGCATCTGGCTTAAAACATGGATTTAATTCAATCACTGGAAAGTTGTTGAATAATGCTCAGGTGACCTATAAGGCCCATGGGCCTCTTGTTAAAATTACCTAGTGGTATGCTATAATTTAAAAAATAGTCCCTTCAGTAAGTTCAATTGTTCAAAATGTAGTTTAATCCAGAATGTTAGCTATAATTGGGCCAATTTCCAACCAATAGTGTCCATATTAGACACATTTTACTGTACTGTAACCTTCAGGGACTTCTTAGTTGTATGTTATTGAGAATTCCCTTAGTAATATATTATGTACCAGATATAATATATATTCATTGAAGTCAGTGAACAAATTTTCATCAAACAATAAATATTAATTTTAATGTTTCAAGTTTATCAAGCATCATATGTATGCACACTAACTTTCTGTTTTAAATGACTGTACTCTGTAACCACTTGACAGGAGATTATGATGGACCACTCGCTGCGGACTATATCCTACATTGCTGACATTGGGGACATTCTGGTCATCATGGCCAGAAGGAGAATCTTATCCTCCCCAGGAGATGAATCTCTGCTGAAGAAAAAACAAGCCAAAATTTTGTGCCATGTATTTGAATCTGATGAGGTATGTTTGACTCCTCATTTTCTGTAATTTGTTATTTATTAACCTGGTTTTCTGTTTGAAAAATCTGGTTATTGAAATGGTGAAAATGACTGGGAGGCCAGCATTCAATTAGGATGGACCACTGTCAAAAGGGTACATTATTCGTCTGAATTAATACATCTTTCAAGATATAACTTTTTTTATTTTGAATATTAATTATACATATAGCAGAGAAGGTGCATGAAGTGGATAGTGCTTGAATATTAATTTTTGGTATTTTATGAGTAAAAATGCCAGTTGTTGAACTTGGTCATTTTTTTTTTTTTGCAAAACATTGCATATAGGGTATCTTCATCATTTGTCTGGGTGACTTGTGCAGTTTTCAAGATAGATTTTATTTTGTAAATGAAATGTTTATATATATTAAAGATGCCCTTGGTACTTGGATTTTGATTTTTGATAAATTATGACAAAAACATCTTTTAATTATTTGAAATATTGCAAACAGGTGTCATGCAATTCGATATTGTTGGATGCTTTTTGCTATGTGTATGTGTAAAGTGCATCTTTTGGAGGGTAACAGTTTTATGTATTCATGTTGACAAGATTGATTATGGAGGTCTAGTATATACCGTAAGTGGTCACTGTTCAAATCCTATTTAACACTGAGGAATATGGTGTGTCCCCATGTAGCTTGTTATATTTTTCCTTTGGACCAAACGGGGAAACCAAAAGATCTCAAATTTTGTGAAAGGGTAGGTAAAATAAGGGAATATGTAGCTCAGAAAGTTTTCCTTCTAATAGGGGCTGTTAAGACCCTTGGCCAGCAGGTTAAAAAAAGGTTAATCCCAAGCCTCTCTATTCATTAAAATATAAATCAATGTACCTGGTGTAAAGTCTAACATATGTTAATGACGAGACAATCCAGATTATTATGTTACTGTTCAGTATTGATTTATAAACTACTGTAATTGAAAATCCATACAATGTCTTGTCATCAGGCTCTTTCATCAGCTACCTGTCACGGGGATGATTCATGTTCCAATTTTACTGAAGACAGTGAACCTGTTCCTCAGCCTTTACATCCTTATTTGTGAGATCATATAAAGAGTAATGGTGCTCCGATAGAACCATGCTGTATTTGAAGACTTTGTGTTAATGTGCCCATCCATTATTGTCACTTCTACATGGGGTCTTTAGTACATTTATTAACAAATTATAGCCATGGGAGGGACTTCTTGCTGTTCAAAAAATGAATATAAATTATGGCTAAGATCATCTGATTTGTGTGAATAAGTGAAAGCACATTTCTTTAAAGAAAAGTTTTCCCTTTACAATAGGCCTGTTTGACAAAAAAAAAAAATGTTCTTTTTCTTTTTTCAGTAATACTCAGTTATAGAGAAGTCCTGGGATTCTGCAAATTTACTTCACTCTATCCATTATTTATAATATTTATTAATAACAAATTCTTTAAGTCATATATATAGCAAATTCATGATACATATAACCTGTTTTCCTTCAAGTATGACTGAAATGTTTCTAGCTCACCTGTGTGGAAAGCACATGTGAGCTTTCTGATCACATTTTGTCCAGCTTCCATCTGTGCATCTGTAAACTTTTCACATTTTCATCTTCTTCCCCAGAACCACTGAAACTTGGCACAGAGTATCCTTTGGTGAAGGGAATTCAAGTTTGTTTAAATTAAGGGCTTAGGGGAGATAATTAAACATTTGTAAAAAAATAACACCATCTTTTAAAAATCTTCTTCTCAAGAACCACTATGCTAGAAAAAATGAAACTTTTGTGAAAACATCCTCAGGTAGTGTAGATTCAGATTTATTTAAATCATGATCCCCAGGGATAGGACAGGGCCACAATAAACAATTCAAGTTTTACATAGGAATATAAAGGAAAAATCTTCTTCTCAAGAACAGCAGAGCTATGATCAGTCATATTAATGTGAAAGCATCCTCAGGTGGTAAAGATTGAAGGTTGTTCAAATTATGACCCCCCTGGGGCTAGGGGTGGGACCACAACAGAAGATAAAACTCATTTGAAAAAAAACCTTTTGAAAAACTTCAAAAGCCACGATTTGCCAAAGTACCGTAATTTACGGAATATAGGTCGATACTTTTTTCCTCAGAACCGCTGGGGTCGACCAATATTCAGAATTCGACCTATTTAAGGCTCAAATTTACGAAAAATGCCTCCAAATCAGTAAAATTTACGTCAATTTCAAAGCAAATCGGTGCCCCTTTCGTAACTTTTTTGATTATTTTTCGCAAAGAAAATTAATGCCCCGGTAAACAATAACATATTTATTCTAAAACTTTCTTACAAAATAAATTCCATTGATTATCCGTTGATGAGAAAGGAAAACAACATTGCTTCACCTATTAAATAATTCCTAAACGTATTATCCATTAACATCATGTGGTATCCATCTTGTGAAGCTAGGAAGTCGCGATCGTGTACTAAAAGTAAAACCGCAACCGTATCAAAATTTAAAATACGGAAAATTTTCACGATCACAACTATAGTGTTTTTACCATTTATTAGTAGCGATAAATTGAAATAGTATATTAAATATTTTTCATTGTCTTATGTTTATTTAAATGTAAAATGAGTGAAATAATTTGTTGCCATTATTAAAATCTTCGTACACAAGAAGTACATTTTTTTTTTTTTGGAAAAATATTTGTATTTTATTTGAAGTACATTGAACTACCGGTATACAAAGATTGGCTTCTAACAGAATTTTAATTGTCTGACAGATAAAGGGATTTACACTGTGTACGCAAAGCTGTTAAACAACACCTGTGTTATTTAATTAATTGCCTGCGGGGCATGATTAAGAAACCCACGTGCCATTATAGGGTATTAGTGTTACACTTCATTGAACAAACAAAGCCGTGAAATTCATGTTGACAGTCAAATTGTGAATGTACTATCAATTAAATTTATAAATTAAACTTATAGAGTGTAAGTATGATTTCAATTCTTTACTGTTGCTTTGATATATACATTCAATTGTAATTTGCGTCATTTAGCCAATCCCTGGAGTAGAAAAATAACAATGGCGGACATCGAAGTAATTGTCGTCCACCGGTAAATACTGTCTGAATAAAATTTATTAGGAATGTGTCCAAGTTATTCTGAAATCGGAATTGCTATTCTTTGGTCTCGGGTATTTCCCAAAATTTAGCTGTAAAAAAATAATGTATTTACGTGTTATTTATGCCTCTGATTTAACTACAGTGTGAAACTACGGAGGCATTGATTGATTGAACACGCAAGTTGGAGAAATATAAGTAGTAACACAATTCAAAGAAGTTTTAACTACATTTTTTAAAAAACTTTATTTAAATGCTGTACTCATTAAAATATCTGTTTATTTTCTTGATACGTTCATGTCACGGAATAACCCCGGTAATTTTAGGGTTTTACCTGTTCTGATACGTTGTATCTGCGTTAGAATCTTTCGAAAACGGGAAAGAAAGCCTCGTCCTATATAGTAAGTTCGCCCTATCTTAGGATTTTTCAAAAATTGAGGCTGAAAATGAGCCTTTCGACCTATATACCCCATCGACCTATAATCCCAAAATTACGGTAATATGGTAGCAACCTCAGTTAGTGTAGAATCAAGTTTGTTCAAATCAAGACCCCCACCCCACCTAGGGATTAGTTGATACCACTCATAAATTACTGAACTATAAGCCAAAGTGCTCAGGTGAGCGATGTTGCAAATAGGCATCTTGTTTATGATGGACCAACAGAAAGTTACAAAACTTCTGAATATTTGTAAAAAGCAAAAGTTTGTTCAACTGATACAATGTATACATTGGTATTGCTATGAGTTATCAGTTCTAATTGACCAAATTTTTCATGCCTCCATCATACAATACTTTCAGTACTTTGATTTCTTATATTACAGAATATTGGTCAAAGACAACACTGTATTTTAGAGAGCATAGTAATTATACCAGCATCATAGCTGAGCAGTAAAAAAAATGTTTATGTTGGTCTCAAGGGAGAAGAACAATCAGACATAACAACCAATCTTTTTTTAATGTAATCTAAGGTGAAAAGTTCAGTATGTATTTCTCTTGGATAGAGAACTACAAGCAGTTAGGCATATAATGAACATTACAAGGAGTTAAACATATAAGTTTCACTTTCATCTTTCTTAAAGCCTTAGTTTCTCAAGAATCACACTCAAAAAAACTGGATATACAGTATATTTGAACTCAATTAATTAAAGGATTCAATATTAGAGTTTTAATTTTCAATCATATTATAAGTTAATCTGTGAAAATTGACAGTAAGGAAAAAAAAACAAAGATCTAGATTTAATCATAAAATCTCATGTCTTATATGAGAAAGATCTGGACACCATTCAAGATTGTATGAGTAGACTAAGTCTAGATGTTAGGCTAGATATGTAGCTAGAACAAGCTGTATGAATTGATAGCTTTGATTGCATATGAGCCAAGTTCATAGCTTTGTGAAGATCTGTGTAGCCTTTTGTGATAATGAATGCATCCATGGCATATTTTGAAGCTAATATGTTTAAGTTCCTTTACATAGATTAAAAGACATAGGATATCAGTGGATTTAAGAATGATGAGAGAAATATTTATTACGTAGAGATCTTCTAATAAACCTTTTGTTTTGAACTATATTATATATGATCATATATAACCTACAAAAGGATAAAAGGTTTTTTCCATATGATTTAGTGACTCCTTAGCTAGTATCCTGGTAGAACACAGAACTAATTTCATTTTTTATGTTAGATAAAAATTGATGAAATTACATTGAAATCTTTGTACATGCAATTTTTACTGGCTGATATAAAAAAGGGAAGTTTTAAGTAAGAGGGATGTACATTACAATTGTCGGGTTTAAGTTAGAGGAATTAATGTTTGAAACAATTTTCAGGATAACATGTAAGTTAGAAGTATGTTTATAACAATTATCACTTCTGTCTTTTTCTCTTAATAAATATTGAGGAATGGCCACTGTACTAAGCCTTACATATTGGTAGTTATGGTTTAAAGGAATCTGTAGGAATCCTGTATGATTTTACTGAAATCAATAAATGCATATTATTGGAAAAAAAAGGTTTTCAAATGGCTATTCAAATGAGGGAAGATGCAGCAGGGTGATTATTTTGTTCAGTGAGGCATGGCTTGTTTTGTTCCTGAATTTCACAAATCATATAATGTATACTTTCACTTGACTCCATAAACATTGATTATATTGATTTTAGAGATGCATTAAGAATGAGTAGTAATTTATTTCTTAACTGATTCACTTTGCAATGGATATTGATAGAAAGTAAATTACCAAGTTGCAACAAATAGACAAAAAAACCTATGCTTTAATGAGGCTTTAAAGTTGGGAGTTTGCTGTGATAACGTTAACATGGAAAGCATTGGCATGTGAAATGATGGAGAAGGATTCTGAGCTGATATAAACATGGACAGGGTGGAAATATTTACAGCTTGGCTTTTTGTTAAAATATTATGATGTTGGAGAGTGAATTCAATAAGGTTTCCATCATGTTTGAATCTGGGACAGCATCTTCAAATATGTTTGCTATTGGGGGTAATGTGAAACTTGGTACTTACAATAACACTAAATATGAACCTTTGGATGTTATTTATGAAGCTCAACAAGAGGTACAGAATCTTTTATAATTGAAGTTGATAGAGCCTGTATTGTTTAAATGTGCAACAAAATTAAATTCATTTATCAGACTTAAGAGAAAGAAACCTTCAAAAGCTAAAAATGTCATATGATATGGAATCTTGAATCTCGCACTATTTTCATGAAAAATAGTGTATTTTTGAGAAATGATTTCTTATGTATTTTTTAAAGATATGCATGCAAATTATGGTAAATGTTTTGTATTTAGCATTTACTGTATTTGGCAGAAAGTGAATTTAAAGATTTAACACATAATGTACATGTTCAGGTAAATATGTGCAAGATGTTTAGCAATGATCTTGCAGGGCTCTCTATTGTCTATTAACTGAGGCCATTTAAGGGCCCCATTCCCGATACAAGAAGTCTTTTTTCCCCCCAATATTGAATTTGTCAATTTTTCCAATAGCCATTTCTCTCAAAAATTAAAGAATACAGTTGTTTGACCAATTCCGAATAAGAAACTGATTCGATGGTGCTATAAGTAGACAAGGCATTATTTCAAAATCAAAGTTGTTTGTCAAAGTACTTAAATGACCTGTGGAATTAAATATTGTTTCATAAAAGTTCAGCCTTTCAAAAATAAACTTTTTGTTTAGCAAGTTAGCATAGGTACTGAGTTTACCTGTTAAGAAATGAGCCAATGAGTTCCAAATACCCTGAATTAAAAATATCTGTCCCACACATTATCTTTATGGCTTTGACCCCTGTCCCCAAATCTTTATGATCCTAACCCATGTCCCTCAATCTTAATGGCCCTGACCCCTGTCCCTCAATCTTTATGACCCTGACCCATGTCACTCAATTTTTATGACTCTGACCCCTGTCCCTCAATATTTATGGCCCTGACCCCTATCCCCCAACCTTTACGACCCTGACCATCAATCTTTATGGCCTTGAGCCCTGTCCCTCGATCTTTATGACGGTAACCCCTGTCCCTCAATCTTCATGACCCTGACCACTGTCCCCCAATCTTTATGACCCTGACCCATGTCACTCAATCTTTATGACCCTGACCCCTGTTCCATAATCTTTATGGCCCTGACCCCTATCCCCAAACCTTTATGACCTGACCCCTGTCCATCAATCTTTACGACCCTAACCCCTGTCCCTCAATCTTTACAACCCTGACCCTCTCCCCAAATCTTTATGACTCTGACCCATTACTCAATTTCTACAACCCTGACCCATGTCCCTCAATCTTTGTGGCCCTGACCCCTATCCCCCAACCTTTACGACCATGACCCCTGTCCCGCAATCTTTATGACCTTGACCCATATCCTCAATCTTTATGATCCTGACCCCAGTCCCCCAATCTTTATGACCTTGACCCCACCCCCCCCCCCCCAACCATCATGACCCTGACCCTGTCCCTCAATCTTCATGGCCTTGACCTCTGTTCCTCAATCTATTTGACCTTAACCCCTGTCCCTCAGTCTTTATGGCCCTGATCCCTGTCCCTCTTTCTTTATGGCCCTGACCCTGTCCCTCAATCTTTATGGCTCTGACCCCTGTCCCTCAATCTTTATTACCCAGATCCACATTCAGTCTTTATGGCCTTGAGCCCTTTCCCTCAATCTTTACAACCCTGACCCATGTCCCTCAATCATTATGACCCTGACCCCTGTCCCTCAATCTTCATGGCCCTGACCCCAGTCCCCCAATCTTTATGGCCCTGACCACTGTCCATCAAAAGTAGCATGAGAGTTCTGTCAGGACTAAGCACAAGCTCCTTTACACCAAAGGTACTAAATAGAATATACAATGAACTCTAATCTGTTGAACAATTTGAGGTTAAATTTACTGATTAAAATGTATTAAAACTTGAATTTAACTTGAAAAAGCTAGGAGTGATAAATTAAGAAGTAGAGTAAATACTCTGTTAATAATATTAAATAATTCATTATCTTTCTTGTTCAGTTGTTGTATTTTTCATTTCCTTGTATAAATTCTTCTTGCTTTAGGTGTCTACATTTATCAATCCACAACAGTAATCATAAATACAATACATTTAAAATAAATACAATACATTTAAAAAAGGTTATGTATAATGTTTGATTTGAGATAAAAGTTTATGAGCTGTGTTTATAAAGGAACAGCAAAATGTTTTGCAAAAAACAAGGAAATAGCATTTGTCTTAATATCAGTTGAGTGGCTCTCTTTTTAACCCAGGAGCTCAAGTAACTGGTCCTACTTTTAGCTGTCCCTCAGTACTTTTCTACTTAATTTGATATTATGAAGTGATTCTAGGTAATGGAATTCGATTTCAGTTCACATGAATTAATTTTTTTTCTATATTAGATGTATGAATGGAAGTCTCATATTTACAGGCTCAGCTGATAGCCCAGTCCATAGGACAAGCCTTTCAGGTGGCTTATATGGAATTCCTGAAAGCCAATGGAATTGAGGATCCTTCTTTGATGAAAGAAATAGACTATCAAGAAGTTCTGAATCAGCAAGAAATATACGGAGAGGAACTCAACCTCTTCTCAAATAAGGAGCGCCAGAAAGAGGTAAACAAAAAAACCAAACAAACTATGGAAAAGAATGATAGCTGGTAAACTACAGTTACCTAAATACATACATGTACTTTATTAATTAGTATGATTATTAATGGATATATATACTAAAAATTATAGGATAACTTTAGTGAGAAGTATTCCATATATTTTATGCATTTATAACACGTACGTTCAAAATGTTTTTAAAACCACATCCTTGTGCATCATGAACTTATTTTTTGACCATGTCTTGAAAAAAAGGACAAAATATTTAATGTGTGATACTGTGATATTTTTTTCTGTGAAGGCTCTTTGCTATGCAAAATAGAAATGCAGGAAAGCTATTAAATGAAGTCAATTTGTTAAGGTTATAGACTAATCTCCTGACAGTTAATAATGAGGGGGTGGATTTATGGGGTATACATAAAATTACCTGACTGATTCTTTGAGGGAATATGAAAAATAATTACCAGCTTGGCTCTGAATACCTTTGAATAAAAAGGTAAAAAAAAAAATTAATAAAGGATTTATCCACATAAACCATCATATTTCAGTTGATAACAACAACACCGAAATTTGGTTTTTATTTTTTCCTCAATTTTTCTGACTTTATAGTAGTTATTTATTCAGTTATGGCTTCATTATTTTGAAGTACATGTAGTACAAACTTTATTGAAGATGAGGATGCGACATTTTATACAATTGATTTAGGGGGTAGTGAGGTTAACCTGAATGCCAATTATGTTAAGTGTTTAAGGAAGATTTCAATGCAATTAATCCAGACTATTGCAGTTTTTAATAATTAAAGACCACAAATGGAGTTTTGAAATCAGCTGTATTTGATAACAGTTTGTCTGCTCATGAGTACTCGGTATTCATGAATTGTAATAGTAAGGTGTCTGTCAATTTGTTCATCTGACTGTCTGTAAACATTTATTCTAATTGCTATTTTTCCTTCAGTTATGGTCTGATTTCAGTGTTACATGACACACAAGTAGAGTATACACTAAGATACATAATGTTACATAGTGATTTTTTATTGAAACTATTACCAGCCTTGTTCATTTTGAAGACAATAAAATACAGTTGAACTTCAATATATCAAACACAGATATCTCAGATACAATGGATATGTCAAAAGTGATTTTCAAGTATTAACCCTTCATTTCTACGTATTTTACCCTGGATATTGCAAATTGTTGGATATCTTGAATCCTTTTCTTGGTCTCACTAAATTCAATATTACGAGGTTTGACTGTTTATAAAATGATGATCAATTCATTACTATTCTTATTTCTTGTGTTGATCATAATGTTCAAGAGAACGGTATTCTTGCAACACTATCTTTGCCATCATTACTTATCGACAGGAAATGAAAATCTGTCTTTTCACATAAATGACATTGATAACCGAGCTTCAGGAAGTATTAAATGGATTCTTGTAGGTAGAAAAGACATTGATCTGCTAGGATTGGGTTTTATAATCCAAGGGATTTTGTATCTTTTATTGTTCTTGATACCTAAAATTAACATTGAATGATTGAATCTGTAGCAAGTAGTATCTAATGCTGAATGTTTATAAAGACAAAAAAACTCAGAAAAATGTGAATAGAAAGTTGAGACTTCAATTTTTTATCATAGGTTAATGGCATCTTAGAACTTCATTTATATTTTATGTTGGCAAAGGTTGTTCTTTCATTTCTGTCAATATCAGTTTCTCTCATGCCACTCAGTCTTACATTAAGTTCCTTTTCTGTATTTTCAATCATTATTTGGAATGGGAATTATTGATTCTTTAATCATGGAATTACTTTCAACAGTTTTAAGAGCATTTTCTCATTAGGCTGTTTTTAAGTCACCTGCCCAGTCACTATGTTAAGGATCATTTCCATTTTTGCATCTTTCATTCATTTTCAGTTGCCCTAGGGGTCTGTTGTCATGTTGATAGGAAGGGAAATTTTGGCATCAGTGGGCTTATTGATTGAATACAAAATAAAAGGTTTATACTTACTGCTAAGCTAATGGGAAAATTTAATAAAACAGCACATTCAGGTGGAAATTAAAGCTTTGTGGACTATAATTGATTCTTGTGGATCAAAAATTAGGATAAGAAAAATATCTGAATGCAATGCAAATTTTAAGTTTTCTCTTATTAAGCAATATTTTTAGAAACTTTCATAGAATGGCATGTAGAGCTGCAAGGTTTATAATTTAGAGAAAAGGATAATGACAGAGTTGCGTTAAGTGGGGACAGTCAGGTTTATTGTTTATATTTTGCCTATGGCTGTGTTCTTAATGGAGATGATTGCAGATCCAAAAATAAAATGTACTATATCTATGGCAAGAAAACTTTCATGAAGAATAAGTCACTTTCTAAAGCATTTCACAAATCTTCTAGAAATAATGGAGATACTGTTATTAAGTTGGTATCAAAGCCCTTGATAGAGTTTAAGAAGCAAGTCAATCCCCAGTAAATATAAGCCCTACCTTGACTTAAATGACTTAATTATCCTGGACAAGTGACTGGGTTTAAATTTTAGGAACAGGTTGAACAGGTAAATGAACAGGTTTAAGACCTAGAGCTGGTCCATTCTCAAGTAACTTTAGGTTCTATAATGATTAACCTTGATTGATTATGCATGTTATTATGAATGTACACTACAAGATAAGTTTTGGAAGTGGGATCTTATAGAACAGTTCAAGTTTTTGGAACTCGTTTTCAAATATCTAGATATCCTACTTTGACCAAGCTTGTGTATCGGTATATATTTTTTAGGAATGCACATTCATATTCATTTAGTTTCAGACTTGAACTTCTCCTTCTCTTTGTTGCAGTAGGAAATTTATAAGGATATCAGAATTAAGGGGTCAAAGTCAACTTAAAAAATATGTATTCACCGACTGAAAAACAAATGAAAAAAGAACTAAAAGTATAGAAACCAAATTGAAAGTTTTATTTAAATTTGGTTAATTGCAGGTGATTGTGCCGAAATTGAAAGGAGAAAATATAGGAATTGTGATTGTGGAGTCCGGCTGGGGATCTATGGTGCCCACGGTGGTTCTGGCTAACATGTACCCCACAGGTCCAGCGGCCCGATGTGGCCAGCTAAATATCGGGGACCAGATTATCTCCATCAACGGAATCAGTCTGGTGGGCCTTCCTCTGTCAGCCTGTCAAAGTTACATAAAGGTACAGCATCAGTCAGCTACTGGCCATACCTTTATTTCACATCATGTATGACTGGTCAAATTTATATTAACCTTTCATAGCAACTTATCTGACTTACATCAACTTGGGGCAAACTTGATTAAACTGAAGCATCAATTTGTCAATCTTACAATAGGCTGTACACATAATGAGCTTAACTTCATTAATCTGTTATGTCAACCTTTTAAATTTAAATATTATACAACATATTTAATTTGTGATCAAGGAACATCCCCAAATTTTTAGAATTATACTGCTGAGTATTTTTTGCAACAAACCATATTGGAATTCTATTTTAAAATTGTTTCCTTAGTCCTAAAAATGAATAGTCTTGGATGAATTTCAGACAAAACAAATCAGAAATAAATTTGTTGCTAATAATGTTGGTTTACATTTATATATGTTATTTAGATATTTCGATATATCAAAGTTTTATCATCAGTCACCAACTTTCACAGAGTTTGCCACATCTGTTTAACATTAAGATTGTCTACTTACTATAGTAGACAATAAGGGCCAGATATTAACTAAATAGTATGACAAATGAAATGACTTCAACTTTACATCATGAACTTTTCTTATTAGCAGTATCCCACTTACATTTGCATATAGTGTTTACACCTCTCAGCTTATTTGATAATCAAGAGCATGTTCTGAGCAGGATCAATTTTCATACCAAGGCAAGCTACTGACAGATAAATTGAAGTTACAGGGATTTCAACAACCTTCTTAAATGTCATGTTTACCTTAATTCTCTTATTTTGGTAATGAACTTGTGCCTAGAAACACCTTATTTGATCATCAAGCAATTACTACTGTTGTACACGTTTGTACCTTGAAGCCAAAAATTTCCATGCTTTCATACAATACTTCCTTCTGTTTGTTAATCCAGACTTTCTTGTTTACAGAGTAGTAAGAATCAGACGGTGGTCAAGTTAACAGTTGTCCCATGTGCACCTGTGGTTGAGGTCCTGATAAAGCGGCCAGACGTCAAGTATCAGCTGGGATTTAGCGTACAAAATGGAGTGGTATGTTTTCATTTAGACATAATATCTCATTTATAAAGGTTTTATAACTGCAAATGAAGTTTCCTCTTTATTTGACTCACCTGAGTTTATTTTGGACAAGTTCAGGGGCACAAGGTTTAAAGGTGCATGTATGAAGTTATTGTTTAAGCTACAACTTTGGATCTAGAAACAAAAGAAGATTATGATTTAAAATATGTTAATTGAGAGTCAAATAACAACTAGATATACATGTATATGCGTAAGTATACATTGATTTTTGTACAAATGATTCATCTTAAAATATAATTGTATTGTGTATTTGAGAATCATAGTTAAAAATTAGTCATCTAGTGTGTTATTCTACTTTGAATATTTATTTTATTAAGGAATATTTAGATATGTTTAGCTGTAAACAAAATACTTAATACAGTGGACCCTCATTTATCCGGACGCTTTGGTTCCCAGTCAATTTGTCCGGATATGTGAAGCATCCGGATATCTGAATCACCAGTTAAACAAAACAGAATAACATTTGAAAATTCCGTTCCGGTGAAAAATCGTCCGGATACTGAAGCATTCGGATATCTGGCGTCTGGATATCTGAAGGTCCACTGTAGATTGTTATTGCCTTGTCAGATCTGCAGTCTGTTAAGAGGAGGAATAGCAGAGAGGGGAGGAGTGAGAGTGGGACACAGGATTATAGAAATCAACAATCAAAGTGTTGTGGCTGTCCCGCATGAAAAAATTGTCTCTCTACTAGCCAACTCAGTAGGAGAGGTAGGGGCCAAGCCCAGAAATTTTAAATGTGTCTTACACTTATTGAAAATTTCTGGAAATATGTCATACTTAGTCTTAGAATGATCAACTGTTAAGAGATGCATTATTAGTGTCCACAATTTTTTTTTTTTGCTCTGATTTTGGTCAATGACAGACATTTGCATTATGATTTCTTGAGGACTAATGGAACTTGTCCTTGTCATTTACATGTAGATTGATTTGCAATAAATGGTAGAAAATCTGTAACTTACATTTCTACAAATGCAAAAGTTTTCTTCATACATTTTCAAAAAGATGAAACATATGACCTCTTCAAAGCTGTCATGCACCAATAATAAAGTGAAGTTTTTCATTATCTCATGACAAAAATATTGAATATGACATTATGAATCTTTGAAACATGAACAGCTCTTGTACTCTTTAATCAATCAAATTTACTGACTAGTAAGGGGGACTTTAGAAGGTCTTTCATTGTAGTGGAGATGTCTTCATCACAGATAATCAGTTGATGACAGGGGTAATCTCTATCAGAAAATGACATCCTTTGTCAGCTACAAACAAGATTTCCAAAGCCACTCACTACTAAAAGCATCAATTTTTTTGGATCTGGCAGTAAACATGCACATTAAGGAATATAAAGTTTTTACAAAACTTGAGCATGGCAAACTGTTTGATAACTGTCTTTGCTTTATATTCACTTTCCAAGTATATTTTCATGCCCCGCAATGAATATGGCTTGGGCATGTAGTGTTTGTCATGTCCGTCTTCCATCCTTCTGTTTGTCCTTCCGTAACACTTTGCGTTTAGTTCAGTTCAAAGCTCAGTTTCAAAGAAACTGTCCAAGATATTTTAATCAAACTTCATATGCTGATAAAAATTGATGAGAGCTACCCAACTGCATCAACGTTATTTGACCTTGACCTTTCCTTTGACCTTGACCTTACTTTTTTAAATTAGTGTTTAGCTCACTTTTAAAGAAACCATTAAAGATGGTGTTATCAAACATCACATGTTGATACATACTGATGAAAGCTATGCTACTGCATCACTTTTTTTTACCTTGACCTTTCCTTTGACCTTGATTACATTTTTCTTAAATTAGTGTTTAGCTCAGTTTTAAAGAAACCATCCAAGATATTTTTTCAAACTTCATGTACTCGCTGATACATAATGATGAGAGCTATTCAACTGCATCAACATTTTTGACCATGGCCTTTCTTTGACCTTGTCCTCACTTTTCTTAAATTAGTTTTAGCTCTGTTTTAAACCATACCATTCAAGATTATGTTATCAAACTTCACATGTTGATAAACACTGCTATGAAACTGCATCAACTTTTTTGACCTTTCCTTCACCTTGACCACACTTTTCTTAAATCAGTGTTTAGCTCAATTTTAAAGAAACCATTCCAATTTTTAGCTCATCTGAGCCGAAGGCTCAAGTGAGCTTTTCTGATCACATTTTGTCCGGCGTCTGTCTGTCTGTCCGTAAACTTTTCACATTTTCGACTTCTTCTCAAGAACAGCTGGGCCAATTCCAACCAAACTTGCCACAAAGCATCCTTGGGTGAAGGGGATCAAGTTTGTTCAAATAAAGGGCAATGCCCTTATTCAAGGGGAGATAATTGAGAATTAGTGAAAATTTGGTGGTATGTTTTAAAAATCTTCTTCTTAAGAACCACTGTGCCAGGAAAGTTGAAACTTATGGGGAAACATCCTCAGGTAGTGTAGATTCAAGTTTGTTCAAATCATGTCCCCCGGGGTAGGACAGGGCCACAATGGCCGACCAAAGATTTATATAGAAATGTATAGGAAAATTCTTTAAAAATCTTCTTCTCAAAAACAGCAGAGCCATAATTGCTCATATTTATATGGAAGCATCCCCAGGTAGTGTAGATTCAAGTTTGTTCAAATCATGACCCCCGGGGGTAGGGCGGGGCCATATTGGCCGACCAAAGTTTTACATAGAAATATATAGGAAAATTCTTTAAAAATCTTCTTCTCAAGAACAGCAAAGCCATAATTGCTCATATTTATATGGAAGCATCCCCAGGTAGTGTAGATTCAAATTTGTTCAAATCGTGACCCCCGGGGGTAGGGCGGGGCCACAATGGCCGACCAAAGTTTTACATAGAAATATATAGGAAAATTCTTTAAAAATCTTCTTCTCAAGAACAGCAACGCCATAATTGCTCATATTTATATGGAAGCATCCCCAGGTAGTGTAGATTCAAATTTGTTCAAATCGTGACCCCCGGGGGTAGGGCGGGGCCACAATGGCCGACCAAAGTTTTACATAGAAATATATAGGAAAATTCTTTAAAAATCTTCTTCTCAAGAACAGCAACGCCATAATTGCTCATATTTATATGGAAGCATCCCCAGGTAGTGTAGATTCAAATTTGTTCAAATCGTGACCCCCGGGGGTAGGGCGGGGCCACAATGGCCGACCAAAGTTTTACATAGAAATATATAGGAAAATTCTTTAAAAATCTTCTTCTCAAGAACAGCAACGCCATAATTGCTCATATTTATATGGAAGCATCCCCAGGTAGTGTAGATTCAAGTTTGTTCAAATCGTGACCCCCAGGGATAGGGCGGGGCCACAATGGCCGACCAAAGTTTTACATAGAAATATATAGGAAAATTCTTTAAAAATCTTCTTCTCAAGAATGACAAAGCCATAATTCATCATATTTATATGGAAGCATCCTCAGGTAGTGTAGATTCAAGTTTGTTCAAATCATGACCCCTGGAGGTAGGGCGGGGCCAAACTTTTGGATTCAAACTTTTCAATAGTAAACCAATTACTACTTTTTCCTAGCCACAATGCTCGGGTGAGCGATGTGGCCCATGGGCCTCTTGTTTTTTTTTTTATCAAACTTCATATACTGATACATACTGATGAGAGCTATTCAACTGCATCAATATTTTTTACCTTGACCACACTTTTCTTATTTTAGTGTTTAGATCAGTTTTAAAGCAACCATCCAAGATATTTTATCAAATTCATATACTAATGAGAGCTATTCAACTGCATCAATGTTTTTGACCTTGGCTTTTCCTTTGACCTTGACCTCACTTTTCTTAAATTAGTGTCAAACTTCATATGGTGATACATACTGATGTAAGCAATTCAACTGCATCAACATTTTTGACCTTGACCTTTCATTTGACCTTGATCTCACCTTTCTAAAATTAGTGTTGAACTTCATATGCTGATACATACTGATGTAAGCATTTCAACTGCATCACTTTTCGATCAAATTTCATACACATTTTCATGTTGCATTACTAATATACCCTTGGCGGGGCATTCATGTCATATGGACATATTTCTAGTTGTAAACTAAAAATATTTAGCTACCTGAATAAGAAAAGAAAACTTGAATTCATGACATATTTTTATCTGGGATTTGAAAGTAAAGGATAAGAAATGATTCACCTTTTTAGCTCACCTGAGCCAAAGGCTCAAGTGAGCTTTTCTGATCACATTTTGTCCGGCGTCTGTCTGTCTGTCTAGCTGTCCGTCTGTCTGTAAACTTTTCACATTTTCGACTTCTTCTCAAGAACCGCTGGGCCAATTTCAACCAAACTTGCCACAAAGTATCCTTGGGTGAAGGGGATTCAAGTTTCTTCAAATGAAGGGCCACGCCCTCATTCAAGGGGAGATAACTGGGAATTAATGAAAATTTATTGGCATATTTTAAAAATCTTCTTCTCAAGAACCACTGTGCCAGGAAAGATGAAACTTATGGGGAAACATCCTCAGGTAGCGTAGATTCAAGTTTGTTCAAATCATGACCCCCGTGGGTAGGGCGTGGCCAAAATGGCCGACCAAACTTTTACATAGAAATATATAGGAAAATTCTTTAAAAATCTTCTTCTTAAGAATGACAAAGCCATAATTCATCATATTTATATGGAAGCATGTTCAGGTAGTGTAGATTCAAGTTTGTTCAAATCATGATCCCCGGTGGTAGAGCGGGGCCAAAATGGCCGACCCAAGTTTTACATAGAAATATTTAGGAAAATTCTTTAAAAATCTTCTTCTCAAGAATGACAAAGCCATAATTCATCATATATATATGGAAGCATGCTCAGGTAGTGTAGTTTCAAGTTTGTTCAAATCATGACCCCCCGGGGTAGGGCGGGGCCAAAATGGCCGACCAAAGTTTTACATAGAAATATATAGGAAAATTCTTTAAAAATCTTCTTCTCAAGAATGACAAAGCCATAATTCATCATATTTATGTAGAAGCATGCTCAGGTAGTGTAGATTCAAGTTTGTTCAAATCATGACCCCCGGGGGTAGGGCGGGGCCAAAATGGCCGACCAAAGTTTTACATAGAAATATATAGGAAAATTCTTTAAACATCTTCTTCTCAAGAATGACAAAGCCATAATTCATCATATTTATATGGAAGCATGCTCAAGTAGTGTAGATTCAAGTTTGTTCAAATCATGACCCCTCGGGGTAGGGCGGGGCCAAAATGGCCGACCAAAGTTTTTAAAGATATATATAGGAAAATTCTTTAAAAATCATTTTCTAAAAAATAGCAAATCCATGATTGGTCATGGGACTACTTTTGGATTTAAACTTTACAATAAGAAGCCATTTTCTACTTTTTCCTACCCTTAGTGCTCAGGTGAGCGATGTGGCCCATGGGCCTCTTGTTAATTATTATTATCTTTTATTTCCAGATTCACATGAAGACAATGCCCACCTCCATTTATCGATTACTGACAGGTCAAGAAACCCCTCATTATCTATAGCAGAGGCTCCTAACATCATCCATCAGCTACATTTCCATGTTATCCCAGGTCACCTTGTGCTATTTATAAATAGCTCATTACATTCCCTTGAAACTGCAGGTTGATAAGTTTTTAAAAGTATTAAATTGTTTTAAATCAGGTTGACAGCTTTATTGACTTTTAAGCTGTTTTTACTTTGTCAAATGGCACACATCTTTGTGACACTGTAAATCAAATGCGATATGAAATGTGCTATGTGTATTGTTAGAGAAAAGTAAAAAAAAATTCACAACCTAATGTTTACAAGAATCTCATGAACTGCAGTGTGAATTTGTTGTGAAGATCATATGAAAACACTGGAGAATATTGTATGTGATATTTTAACATTGGCATTGTATGTTGCTGTGTGCTGCTGTGCAATAACAAGAAAGAGATGAAGTGATATGGTGATTTAACATTGATGCATGTGTGTTCTAAGTTTCATTTTATGGTGTACTAAACAATGTGTTTCTCCAATAACTTTGTAATTTTGATATTTCTTGTAATGCCATATATTTATGAAATCCACCTTTGTTGTAATGTGACATTGTACAGCTGCTTGTCACTGAGCTCATTAATATCAGTACATGTATAACATTTCTTATGTACCGCTGAGTTGCAGCTTATTTGAATGGGCATTGACTTGAGGGCTCTCAAGTTTTAAATTTTGACTTAATTTGAATATTCATTATAAGACGGATATTGTTGAATTTTTATCACTCCTGTTTTAGGTGTGCAAGTAATGTTGCAATTTAAGAGATGGGTCTTAAAAGGCCAGAAGATTTTGAAAGGTTAAATTTTGTGTAAGAAAAAAGAATCTCTGTCAGTTCTACAAAAAAGTGTACAGGAGTAAATTAAGTTTTTTAAAAATTATTCTTTTACATTGCTCTCACTGATAACTTAATGGAAAGTACAATATTAAACGCTATCATGAAAGGGAATTTTGGGTAGTTATATTAAAAGAGAAATCATATATTTAATTTTAACTCATATATTCAAGCAATAATTTAGTGATACATTTATTGTGTATACCATTAATCATCTAGTCATACTGATTATTTAATATACGCATTATAAATATGTGATATGGATGTGATCATTTTTGAGTGTGTGAATTTTAAATGTTATACATGAGTGCATGTTGATGCTATGCTTTCATGATGGATTCTGACTGTATGTATTCCTTTCGTTCTACTAAAATTGTTTAAAAATGTACTATGGAGATGAGGCTGAAACATTATACATCTGTTTAAAACATGCTCAAGGTTGTGTGCAGTAAAAAGAGAATTTAAGACAAATTCTAAGATTTAGAGAAGAACATTAATTCAAGTGTTACAAATATCTTTTTTGGTTCAGCCAGTGTAAATCTTGCATTACACAAACTAAGAAAACTTAATACATTTTAGAATTAAACTCTTTCTGTATTTAAAGGTTTGATTGAAATAAGATCATTGGTATCAGAAAAAGTATATTGATAAACAGTGCTCTAATATATGTGTTGCAATTTTGAAAGAATCTATAAAACAAATTGAGAAAAAGGTTCAGATACTTATTAAGAAAACCGAGCATTAAATTTATCCGTAACAAAAAATATTAGAGTCAAATCAGTACTGTAAAAAATATTGTAAAAAAGCTTGAATTGTGTGAGAAGAAAGTTTGACTTTTTGTACATGACCAATAAATGACATGAATTTGACATGTTGAATCACTTCATTTTAAATATGACAGAACACAACATTACTACGAGTAAAGAGATTTTTGTTTTTTTTTAATGCTGCCTTAAATGCAGATCAAAGAAAGTTAACCTTGACCATACCTTTTAATTGGTAAGAGCAAGGGCTTTCATATTTCATATATATGGAACGCCATCACTGCCTTATAGCATAAAACTATGCATTCATTATGTCAATCTATCATTACGTGATGTGAACATATCTTTACTGTTATGTCAATTTTTTATGGGGTGATGTAAAAATATCTTTACATCATGTCAATGCTGCATTACATGAAGTAAAAGCATTCTTCCATTTTGTCAGCACTTTATAACTTGAAGTCCAAAGTTCATTATGTGAAGTGAAAATATGTTTACATTATGTTAAAACTTGATTACGTAAAAGGGATTTCATTTCTTTAATATGTGAGGTCAAAATTGCATTACGTCAAGTTAATTTCGTTTTACATGTGTTCTATGATTAATTTATCATTACGTTAAGTCAAAGTCCATTCCCTTTTGTGAGTTTATATTTCTATTATAACTAAGCATTATTACGTGATGTTTATGTATCTTTATTTTACGCCGAGGTCATCACAATGTGAGGTGAAAACATCTTACCTTTATGTCAGTGCTTTATTACGTGATGTAAAAAGGTTTATAACATAATGTGAACATATATTATGGAGACAGTCCCGGCGTTCCATATTATACCAACACTTTATTACATTATGTCAAAACTCCATTCCGTGATGTGGATATATAATTACATTATGTCAACTCTTTCTTATGTGATTTAAAACTATCTTTACATTGTGTTAATTCTTTATCATGTTGATTGCAAATGTTTATTACGTGCTGTAAAATACATTTACATTATGTCAAAGTTGATAACCGTGCTTTCACGACTGGGAAGGGGGGGGGGTCTGAATAATTAGGACGAATTACAGATACATTATATGAGGGGGGGGGGGGTCTGGCTTCCTCTTTTTCCCGACATAACTTTATCGTAGAAAATGTTCAATGAAATTTGCCTCACTTTTTGCTGAAGTACATGGGTAATGTAGTATATTTGGAAAATTTTTAAGGACTGATAGAAGTTGGAACCCCCCCCCCCCCCCCCCTTTCACCCGAAAAGGATTTTCGAGTTTGGAATTTTTTTTTTTTTTTTTTTTTTTTTGCTTTTTCTTGTACGTTATTTTTTTTCTGGCTGACAAACCTCCCCAAACTTTCAAAAACGATGCAATGTCACTGGAATGAGTCATTTTTCAACCATTCCAAAAATCTACCAGTCCCTCACTTAAATCAATTGACCATTCCTTAGTAAACATGGGCACATATCAGTGGCGATCTTGGGTTCTTGAAAAGAGTAGCTATAGTGGGACGGTATGGTGTCTAAGTTGGGGACCAGGGGGGGGGGGAAGCCTGGAGGCTTTTTTTTATATATAAAACGTTTCAACTTATTTCAGTTATACTTTATGTGAGACTTATGCAATGTCCTACAAAGTAAAACCAATTAATTAATATCATGCATATTTTGGTCACTAAAGATGGGAGGGCAGGATCCACCTCTCCCCACCCACCCACCAGAGCACGTATGAAATACGATGTGTTTACACTTTTTTTTTTTAAAAGGAGGGTTAAAGACTGATAAAAATCTAAGGACAGTGTTTTGTATAGTTAGATCAGAAGTTTCGGACTTTTCAAAATAATTCAAAATAAAAAGGAAAATATTGCTGCATAACACATACTATTTGATTTGCGATAATTATGAGATTAAACGGCCATTGAATTTCGACGTGAAAAAAAACAATCGTCAATAAAGATTCCACGGGAACATGATCCTATTTATAAATTTAAACCTGATATTTAATTAAGAATTAATAAAGTCCTGTGTATATAATTTAATATTTGATATGTTTAATTTAAATTATTTGCATGTTTAACATATGCCTGTAATATTGAAAACACAAAACGAACTTTTAGGCATAACCTAAACCTTACGTCACACAATAAAGAGTTGAAATATTCTAAGATATACTGAAAAGAGGCTAAGCATTTTAGACACACTGTAAAGATACAGTGGCATAACATAATAATGATTTGTCAATAAGTAAGGGAAAATCGAAATCATGTAATAGATTCCCGTCGTCATGTAGCATATTGATGACACAATATAGTAAAGAATTGGCCACATGTGACAATTTTTTTCACATCATATAATGAAATTCTGACATCGTTTTATAGCGACTTGATATTGAATTAAAGATAAATTCACATAATGTAATGAACTACTTAGACCAAATAGTAGAGAGTGCACATAATGTAATAATGAGTTGAAATTATGTATAAAAACATCTTTACACCACGTAAAATTGTTTTGGCTTAATGTCATAAAAGGCTGATACACTGTATCATGCAATGGAAGATTGGCGCAATGTAATTGAAGTACGAGTTAATGCCGTAAAGACTTAATATAATGTAATGGAAAGTTGACATAACGCAATAGTAGCGTGTGTAAATGTCATAAAGAGTTGACATAATGTAATGAAAAGTTGACTCAATGCAATAGTACTGTAAGTAAATGTCACACAGTGTTGACATATTGTAATGGAAGGTTGACACAATGCAATAGTAGTGTGTGTAAATGTCATAAAGAGTTGATATAATGTATTATTATACTTTCATGTTAAATACTAAAATCTGATTGGTTTAGACGCAGGTAACAATCCGTTCGATTACCCTGAGCCTTAGCAACACACGTGACAACGGGTAACACAACGATAATGCCACATGCGTGGAAATTGTGCGCGTACGGTTCACCGTAGAATTCTCAAAACGTCAGTCGCGCGTTTGAAAGAACCGGAATTAACTTGACGTCAATAAAAGCTTGCGTCCGATATAGCTTACTTGAAAACAACAAACGACAGACGATACATGCTTGCGAGTGTAGGAAACATGCTTGCGAGCCAGAAATAACGAAACTTTATATGATAAATGACTCGAATTCGAGTATCAAACTAACAATAAGGAGATTAGTGAACCGGTTAGTGTGAAAGCTTTCTATACATGAACGTAAAGATGATTGGCGTTTTTTTTTTTTGCTGACGTCCTAAATCAATAAGACATTCAGTATAATAAAATAAATGGTGCCTGTTTTGTAGGGTAACATTTGAAATTGACACCCCTCGGAAAACCATTGTCAACCTCCGCTGACGCGTCGGTTGACAATGGTTTTCCTTGGGGTGTCAATTTCAAATGTTACCCTACAAAACAGGCACCATTTATATAATGGAAGATTGACACAATGCAAAAGTGGTGTGGGTTAATGTCATAAAGAGTTAACATAATGTAATGGAAAGTTGACATAACGCAATAGTAGCGTGTGTAAATGTCATAAAGAGTTGACATAATGTAATGGAAAGTTGACTCAATGCTATAGTACTGTAAGTAAATGTCACAAAGTGTTGACATAATGTAATGGAAAGTTGACATAATGCAATAGTAGCGTGTGTAAATGTCATAAAGAGTTGACATAATGGAATGGAAAGTTGACTCAATGCAATAGTACTGTAAGTAAATGTCACAAAGTGTTGACATAATGGAATGGAAAGTTGACACAATGCAAATGTAGAGTTCTGCTATAAGGCAGTGACGGCGTTCCATACATATATATTCAATTATTTATATATTCTTTGTGAATACATTTTCTGTGAGAAACAACAAAATAATTAGGTCCAACGAAGGCCTACTAGAGAAGTTTATTTTTGATAACATATTTTGTAAATGTGGTGGAAACAAATGATATTTTAAAAGTTGAAAATAATAATTTTCTAATCATAAACAACTGAACAACATGTAATTGTCAAAACAAAAAATATGGAGATAACGAACAGTCTTCAAGATCAAAAGTCGATAAACAATACAACACTGGAGAAGAGCAACACGGACATCCGAAACATCAGAGGTGGGATCAGGTGCCATGGAGGAGTGAGCATCCCCTGTTGACTGGTCACACCCAGTCAAAACCAAAGAGAATATTTATCTATACAGGATTTGATGAGGAAAAAAGGACTTTCAGGGCTTTAATTAGCATGGAAGACCAGCTTTATTTTCAGTGTCTTGTATAGCCATCTCTAACCATGGCTCACAACCAAACTGATCATGTTCAGCGACGGAACAGTCCTTGATTTTCTCATTTTTCTTCTCAGTACACACCTACAACAATCATTGAAATCCAGACAAAATATGGATGCATCAATCCTTAACACTCGTTGGATATGACTGTCCCAGTTGACGTAGTCTTTGAACAGCAAACTGGAGGTGAAACCTGCGATGCTCCATTGTCAAAGATTGGTGCACAGCAAGTTCTCTGACACGTAATCCCACATCAGGATGTTTGTGTGGAGATCTGTATATATTACCTGTTGTTACAGATAGCTGTTGAGAGCAACAGCTGAAGAAATTCGGTTTCTCTGGGCAAGTAGGACTATTTGTCTATTTTGTCTAACAGTTGCAGTTTTGGGGAGAAGGTCTCTGTTTGTATCGTTCCAACATTGGCAACAATCATCCGATAACAGAATGACTGACACCCAGTTGCGCACTAACATTCAGCTCGTAGCATTCCTTATGGCACGCCGATTGGTTCAAATTATTTTCTGCACGACCTTAAACAAAAATTACACGAGTAAGTAAAAACTTACACAAAGTGAGGAAAGTATACACAAAGCTATTGAAATTTACACAAACTACAGAAAAACTACACAATCAACAAAATATTTACACGATATAGTGAGAAAATTACACAAACATAAAAACGAAAACTGCATGAGTGAGAATACAACATCGACATAATATACGACGCATCCTCATTGCGCACATTTCATTAAGTATTCATTAGAGAACAGCTCAGGGTGGCTTGGATGCTTGAAACATAAACCTATAAATTTATCCTAAAGGATGAGTAACGTGTTAGTAATATTTATTTAATCTTTTTAAAAAGGATTCAGTCTTTTAGAATTCCGCTAGACTCTCAAGAATATGTACTATGTGTTTTATGCATGTATAAATTTACACACAATCTTAAGTATGGAATATGAACACCCCCGATTAAAAACATTCTACACATGTATAAATAACGTAAAAGGGATGCATATTACCAGATGTGTGTTTAATTGTTAGATTTTTAAATTGTGTCATTCCTCTATCATTGTCTATATAGCAATTTCTTTTGAAAGTGTAAAACATTGATATAGTAAAGGTCTTCATAAAATTAATAAAAACAGCATGTGATATAATACAGGGCAGTTAACAATAAATCAAACTCTTCTCCTCCACCACCCACTGTGTGTACGTCGGTAATAATTAAGGATGTGGATGCGTGACCTTTTCATATAGAGAGAACCCTCCCTGCTGGAGAAGGAATGAAAGACACCTGTACGCTAATCGATTTATAGTTATTTGACACATCAATAATACCTTTTGATTAAGGATTACTAGCAATTCATACAGAGTTGCGATCATCTGGGTTGTGGAATTTGACAGAAAACTTTTTGGAAATAAACAGTAAAAAATAAAAATAAGGCAAATAATTGCGCAACTTTAAGTTTTATATTGAAACGATCAAATATAATTATTAATTTTTTTTATATAATTATGTATGTGACAAAGTAGAACATGTAGTCTTTAATTTTGAACAATGTGTAGTGATTTCATAAATATCCATGTAAATGTAGAAAATTATATGTAAATTGTAGTCGTTTTAGTTATGTGAATTTAAGCTTAATATATAATGTTTTTTATCGAGTTTGCTTTGAATAGGTAAAATGCATATAAAGGAGTTAAAACAATTTAAAATTATGATATACAGACACATATAATATCGGTAAAGCATCACTTTTAATAGTGGGGAGGGGGTTAGAATTTTTTTTGACAAATTACCTGAATAGTCTGATTGCATGACAAGCGAAAAAAAAGGCGGAAGGGAGGGGGGGAGGGTCCAAACTAGAAAATCCTATTTCGTTGAGGTAGTGAGGCACCTTCAATATTCCACCTTCTTTTCGAAACACATAAGCATATATTACTTAGATTTAAACTACCAAACAAAAAAGGGGATGAGGCTTTTCAGTGGATATTTACGATAGAAAAAGGTTATGTTTGCCAAAGAAAAGAAAACGAAAAGGGGGAGGGACATGCCCCTCCTGATGCTACTAGCTGAAATATTTTTCTATGAATTTAAGCGTACATGAAGTAGTCGATCGAAATCAGGATTGCAATTCAACCTAAAACTATAACGATAAATACATGTATTGTAATTTACCGTCCATATCCTGGAATTTGCGCTCGACCTAACAACATTTAAAAATTGAAGGTTAGGGGGTCAACCAGGATATAAGGAATATTTACTGTTGAAAAGTCTATAATACTCAGAAAAAAGTAGGAAGGAGGGGGGACTTCTACAGGCCCGTTTGCCGATTAATTTCATTTTATGATTATACAGTCATTTTCTTGTTATAATGGCCATAGATTTGGGTTGAAAAGTGTTATTACAAAAAACTTTTTAGTGCTTGGGAAATAATAAATCATTAAAATTTTATGAATACGAATTCTAAATGTAAAGAGAATTTGTTTTCTTTGAAAATATTTGCAAAAATTGTGCTCTATTTGGAACATGATTTATTTGCATTTTTCAAGAATGATAAAACAAGTTTTATATTCTTTTCAATTAATATCAAACTGCAGTATCCATTCCCATTTTATTTATGACATTGTATGTAGATGTATTTAGTAATTCACAATGTTTTAAAAGTCTTGGTGTGTCATTATGGTCCAACGATTTGAAACTTAAATAAATTTATAATGGGACTCCAATCGATCCACGAGCCAGGTCCGCCACTGATCATGTGTTTTTCCATAGCCAGGATTATTTGAGTAGAGTTTTGTTATTTCATTTGGACAAATTTAATTAACAAAAAACAAAAGCGCATATACATAGAGTATATAAGTATATTCTCCGTTTATCTGGTCCTTTTTATTAAAAATGAAAACATTTATCAAGTAATCGCCATTGCGAATGAGGGCAACGCTTACAAGAAATATCTTGGTTTTATAAGTTATAAGTTTATAACTGAAAATATGAAATATCATGGAAAAATTCATAACAAAAAGTAGGCTACAGATATCCAACCAAAATTGATATCGGATATTTTATAAGTTTGGATACATATGTTAATAGAAATAAAATATTTTTATCTTTGACATTAAAAATACGTTGTGTACATCTAAGGTAATCCTCACTTTTTAAATTTAAAAATGTACACATTTGTATATATCCAGCCAACTGAATATTTAATTTCCTATTCTGAAATGGGGAAAAAATCTCCTCAAATGATTTTTTTAAATCAAGATCCTTGTCAGCCGTACTGTAGTTCATCGTTAGGTACTTTTAGTTCGGAGTCGAGTGCATCATACTCAATGGTACTTTTTTTTAACCCCGCATTGTAGCACAAACGTACCGATTCATTCTTGTTACAATTTTTGTCCGGCATCATATAATACATCCTTGATCTCGGTCAATATAAGAAATTCATAGTATTTTCAAAAAGCTTTTAAATACTCTCGCATAGATCAGATGGAAACACTTCATTCGAAATCGGATTGTAAAAAAGCAACTTCCATTCTCGATAACATTCAGCTTAGCATACATGAAGAGATAAAGAGTACAGTAAACCAAGAACACTATGAATATTCTATGTGCATAGTAATGATATGCGCAGTAAAATTGTTTGTGTAATTTTTAGTTTCCTCTGCTCGTGCAATTTTCGATTTTTGTTTGTGCATATTAAACCCTTTAATCGAGTAAAAAAATTCGGATTCGTGTATTTTTCGCTATGTTTGTGTAAAAATCTTTTAAACTATGTGCAATTTTTACCGATACGTGCATTTTTATTTTACTCGTGTATATTTTTCTTCTAGCTCGTGTATAAAATCGTGATCGTTGTGCAGAAAATAATTTTGAACCAATCGGCGTGCCATAATTCCTATGGCCCTTGCGGCTTCCTCTACCGTCAGATGTCTTCTTTGAGGCATGGTGATGTTCAATGGCAAAAAACGACTAATATTGTACAAATGATTAAATCCTGTTCCTTTTGGAATAGCATGTCTGATATTGTATCAAAGATGCACAAATATTCTATGTATGAACTACATATTAATACTTTACAATCAAAACGACAGCTATGATTGCCATCAATGCATTTCTCTACTAAGTCAATCCAAATACTGAGTATGAAACAGGCGTGTCGGTCTCTAGTGTCTTTCATTATATCGAACCAAAATCTGAATGAAATGTAAATTGATAAATTGTTTATTAATCTACATGTAAATATAAAATACAGCTGTACTAGAAATCATTAATTGAAGGTCCCAGCAAGAAGCTGCTTTTCATGTTAAAGATTTTAGAATTAATATGCTGATTCCTAAGAGTACTGATTGGTCTTCCATTGAAGGAACACTATTCAAACGTATTGTTTGAAAAATTAATCTATAAAGACAAGGTCGGAACTCAAGCATTTTTAATGTAATCTTATATATCATATTATCAATATTTTTGTGTGGAAGCAATATTTGTAAATATAGATTTTAAAATTATAATCTCAAATTTGATATTTTTTAATTTTAAGTTTATCATTTGTGATTTCTAATTTCAAAATTCGAATTCAAAAGCAAGGCACTGAGCATATACGGCCATCAGAGTTGCAAGCAAGTTTATCGGAGTTAATCATGTCCTCGGATTATAATTAATATATCATAAAAAATCCGCATTTCATTCGAATTGTAGGCACGTAACATTGATATTTGAAATGAGGACGAGTAAAAAAACACTTATAGATATATACCCCCCCTCTTGAAATCCCTCTGAATGCGCTACTGAATTGATGCGTTTACGAGGACATATTCTATGATAGTTATTTAAAATACCAAGGACAAGACAGTCAATACATGCCCTATATACTTGCTGAAGTTCTTTAAATATATTTTACTGTACCTTTATAATCAACTACCTTGACCGCCGAACAATAAACATTACGTGTAGATAAATATAGAATCATATGCACTTCTAATGCAATGGCGGATAAATGCGCATAAAGTAAGTAGAATTTGTATATAATATTCGAAATAAAACTATGAAAAATATAGAAAAGATGTTATTTACTTAAATAGCGCAGTAGGTAGAATGTAAAAAAGAAAGATGAATATCCTTTAGGATAGGGTAATAAAATCTTATTACTTTCGGTTTCATATGTCATTGTTGTCAGATATATATTTTATGTCTATCCAAAGAGGTTATCAATTAGAATATTTAATTTTTCTCAAGATGGATAGCAGTCGCGACATTGAAGAAAATACATAACCTGTAATGATTGGATCTGTTGATCCCTATACCATATATATACATTTTATTGTTATTATGATATCAGTTTGGTTTATCCCTAAAGAAATTAAGTAAAATCTATATTATTTTACTTGTCCATAATTTTCATTGATTACTTCTTATATACTAGTATTATCACTGATTTTCATAAGATAATAAAACAATATTCATGTGGTCTTAATATTAATGAACAGTTATATCTCGGAAGTTGGTGTTCATGTGTCGGCACATATCCCCACCCCCCTTCTCTTTCGAAGTTTTCGGTCGTGCGATTCACCTTGTTTCCAGTTTGAACGGAAATTTCTACGACTGGGACGATATACAGAGAAGTAATACATACCCTAGCTTTCCATATCACATCCTGTATCAGCCCGATACACCAATATCAGACAGAGGGCCGAAGGCCCAAGGGCTGATATTGGTCGATCTTTGGACAATCCAATGTAAAGATAATGACTGAACAAAGTGTTTGAAAGATGTCAGTCAATATTTGACCAATTTTAATCTATAGATTGCATTTACAAACAAAGTCATTGTATCGACAAAAACTCGCGAAACGATAAAAGCAATTTTTTATATCCTTGTTTCACAAACTTATTCGTAAATAACCTGTCACGTATTTGGAGTTCAAGGGGGCGTATTGGGCAAACCTTTTTTTAATGAAATTTTTTTTACTGAACAATGAACATTATTTTGTAAATCGTCTTCAGTATATATCATTGATGGATTAATAATCTGTGTTTGATGTTTTACGTTCTTTTTGAGAAAAACAACATCAAATTTGAAGGAGACTTTTTTTTCATGTAGCAATTTTGTGAAAGAATCTAACTGCTAATAACGAGAAATATTCATTACCAATAAGAATTCAAACATATTGGTAGTAAGACCATGTATCCAAAGATACTGTAAGTAAGAAACTCAAACATTTTTTGTAATTTGAACTCCGGAATAACTTGCGTATAGAATTAGAATCAGTTCTTTTTACAAAAGAAGTTTGCAGATGGCCATTAATAAGATGTGCATATTTACGAGGGTTGTTCGTAAAGTTCGTGGACGATGTCAATCTCCGTTATAACTACTCACTAAAAATAAAAGACGTTCCAACTTTTTCAAGTTGCTGTTCAGATTTCTACCGTTAAACTGATTGTCCTCAAATCAAATACTGTCTATACTATTTGTCCACACGTGTACAACTCACTTGTGACATATTTTTTCATTCCTCCAACATTTTAAGACTTTATTCAGAATTGTTCCTGAGTAAAACACAAAATTGCATCGTACATATCTGCTGCGTCGTGACGTTCTAAAACGTCATCGTTTTTGTCGTTTTCAATGAGGACTACCTATCTTCTCAAGTTGATTTCTTTTCAAGGAAGCAAACTATTAACCCATAATTTGGAATACGAGTCGGTGTAACAATTCTTAATTTTAATTTCAAGGTTGTTTTTCGTTTTTACTCCATTTTACAGAGAATATGACTACTGACATTATTTAGTGTAATTTTTTGTAACTTACCAAATTTTGACCTGCTCCGCGACCAGATTTTTGCATTTTTTAAATCTGGATAAGTTTTGAATAAATCGTGATATTAAAAAAAATTAATACAAATCATTTGAATTAAATGGTAAACTATTTCTATTTTCTACCAAATTTGGATAACATATGACGTCAAATAAAAAAAGATATGACAGTAGTCCACGAACTTTTCGAACAACCCTCGTATGCGTTACATTTTTATTAAAGAATCAGTTATCTATGAAGTCATAAAGCCTTGTAGCAACCGCTAATATATACATTTGTGGTATCTCTCCATTATATAAACATACAGAGAGAAAATATCTTCAATTCTGTATGAAGTTTGTCAGAGGTCAGAGGTCAATACGTGACCTAATCACACGGCGCAATAATATCTACCGGTACATAAATTCTTCTTCTTCTTCTTCCAGTAATGTGCCTGGCTCCAATGTTGGGCATTATCGCACATGATTAAAAGGTTAAAATCATGCTGAGGAAGGCCTCGTTAAAATCTGGTTAAAATCTTCAGTTATTAAAATTGGTAGGATCTGGGGCTGATTCGGGCTTTGAAGGCCTCGAGTGAATCAGCTGTCACTATGGTTGGTGAAAGTGAGTTCCAGATTACTACTCCGGCTGGAAAGAAGGAGTCCTGATAACATTTTAAGTGGCAAAATGGTTGTAGGAACCTCATAGTATGTCCTCTAGTATTACAGCTGTTTACAGGATGTAAATGACTAGATGGTATGTCAATGTATCCATTCACAATCCTGTACATCATGGTGGCTCGTGCTGTTATCCGCCTGGACAGCAGGGTATCAAGATGGAGATGATTGAGCATGGATGTTACGCTGCTCTCCCTGCTATAGTCGCCCATGATGTAACGTGCAGCTCTTCGTTGTACCGCCTCTATCTTATTGATGTGGGTCTTGTTGGTATGATCCCATACTGTAGAAGCATATTCCACCTGAGGTCTCACTAGAGTCTTATAGCTGGTTGCCTTGATGGACCGTGGGCAACCAGATAGGTTACGACTCAGGAAAGCAGTGGTGTTGTTAGCTTTTCTGGTAATGTTGTTAATATGTGGTCCCCAGTTGAGCTTGTTGTCGATGGTAACACCCAGGTACTTTGCTTTGGTGGTGAACTGCAAAGTTTGGCCATGGATGGAATAATTGGCCTCAATTATACGCCTTTTGTTGGTGATGCGTATTACTTCACATTTCTCTGGGTTGAAGCTCATCAGCCACTCAGACTCCCATACTTGTAGCTGGTTAAAGTCTTCTTGAAGAGTGATTGTGTCCTCCTCATTAACTATCCTGCGGTACAGCAAGCAGTCATCAGCAAAGAGCCTTGTTGTTGATTTGACTCGGGATGGTAGGTCAATGATTTATACCAGGAACAATAGTGGACCAAGCACTGTGCCCTGGGGTACTCCAGATGTTACAGGAGCAGCTGATGACATCTCTCCATCAACAACCACTTGTTGGCTTCTGTCGGATAAGAAGCTACTAATCCAATCCAGGGTCTGTCCTCTCACACCATAATGCTCAAGTTTGAGGGCTAGTCGATGGTGGGGGACTTTATCAAAGGCTTTGCTGAAGTCAAGTAAGACTGCATCTACCTGTTGGCGTTGGTCGAGACTACATGCCAGATCATGGATGGTTGTTATCAATTGGCTTTCGCATGATCGTCTCTTCCTAAAACCATGTTGTTGGTCTGAGAGGATGTTGTTTCTCTCCAGGTGGTTGATAACATGGCTATGGACAATATGCTCTAAGGTCTTACAGCATACAGATGTGAGAGACACTGGCCGGTAGTTTGATGCTCTGGATTTGTCTCCTTTCTTGAATAATGGTGTTACATATGCAGTCTTCCAATCATCTGGGACTTTCCCTTGGTCTAATGATGATTGGAATATGATGGTTAATATAGGAGATACTGATATTGCCATTGCTTTCAAAAATCTGGCTGATATGTTGTCTGGTCCACTAGCCTTGTTGGGGTTCAGGCTTTGCAATAGTTTGAGGACACCTTTTTCTGTGACTTTGATGTTATTTACCCCTGGGTAGCTTGATTGACCAAGGTCTGGCAGGTTACTAAGTGACTCCGTATGGAAGACAGATGAAAACTGTTGATTCAAAATCTCTGCCTTTTCTTTTGGACTGGAGTGAAGCAAACCCTCATTCCGCAAGGGGGAGACACCTGAACTGTCACAGCGCTTACTCTTGATGTACGAGTATAGCTTCTTGTTGGAATGGCCCTCCTCGCCTAACATGTTGTTAATATATTTGAGGTATGACTTTCTACACTCTTTTCTGTTGGTACTCTGGACCTCCCGATATTTTCTCCAATCATTCTGGGTGTTTGTTATGCGGGCCCTCCTATGTGCACGACGTTTCCTTCTACTGAGTCTCCGAATGTTTCTATCACACCATGGTTGGTTGAATCGACATGAAGTGAACTTCGATGGTACGTGTGTATTAATGGAATGAGTGCAGATCTTCTTGAAGTCATTCCACATCAAATCTACTGGTGCGTTGTTGTTGGAATGTTGTTGGAATTTGGCCAGATTCTCCGCCAGATCAGAACTAATAGCCTCAGTGTCTGCTTTGGCCCAAAGATATACAAGTCTCCTCACTGGACGGCGTCGATGTGGCGTAGTGTTGATGTCAATTAACACAATGTCATGATCGCTAAGTCCTGGAAGTGGTCTTGCCTTATTAAGAAGGGATGGTCTATTTGTGGCAAAGATGTCAAGGATGTTACTACCACGTGTTGGGAAATCGATGACTTGCTGACATCCAAGATCACTAAATATGTCTATAAACTGTTGACTGATGGTAGTTGGGTAGTTATGTCCCTCCACTGAATCACATGCCCAATTGATATCGGGAAGATTTGCGTCACCGCCAATCCATAATGTGTGATCCACACATGCTCTACTTGCTTTTCATGTATAAAAATGAATAAAATAAGCAAGTAAAATGATAATTATTTTATTTTAAACGTAAACAAGTATTTTATACAGTTTTGGGGCTATCGATTCAACCTGTGTACATAGAGAAAACTAGGAGCCTAACGTTTGTTTACATTTTTCTTCACTTTTGTCAGCTGCACAGTCTCTAACGTTCATCCTTATTTTTTCGATAGACCTTTGGTTAAATTTTCATGATAAACTTTTATTTTATCTTTAAATTTTACTCACGATAAATGTGTAAATCTGTTGGAAAATATCTTTGCAATAATGCCATGAACAGCTGCTAAACTGTAAACACCTCGGCGTTTTCGTAGTTCAATGTAAAGCTGTCGCCAGTAGGGCTGGGCAAAAATATCGATATTTCAATATATTGCAATACAATGACAAAGAATATCGTATCGCAATACGATTTTGTAATATCGATATATTGGCAATATACTTAGATTAAGGAAATTTGTCATTAAAAATAAAAATGGACTTATGAAAGTTTGTTATTAAGCCAAACAATAAGTCAGAAGTTGTTTTGTTGGAACATTTCAGAGCATAACTTAACTGAAATCAACAAGATTTTTTTCCGTGTTGGTTACTTATCATAGTTATGTACACTTTGCATGTAAATTAAAGTAAATTTAGTACGAAAATGCCATTTTTATTACCTTGAAAATATTGCAATACATATCGCAATACGGTTTAAAATATCGCAATATATCGCAATACGAAATCTCGGGCCAATACCCAGCCCTAGTCGCCAGCGTCTCCGTGTTTATAAGCGTTTTACGATAAGTGTGCCTTTAGTTACTGAAACCGTGGAATGTTTTTTAAATTGCAAATTAACTGGCTCGGACAAGTGTCTCAATCCATCGGATCCATCCATCCCTTTCCAGTGACCGAAATTCCTCCAACTTTTTATCATTGATCTTCGGACGTATTTCTTGTGTCTTTTCACGAATAAAAATATTCCCATATAACAATCTGTTCACTATTAATTATCACAAGTAGCCTTTCACAGAATATTCCATTAGAAATAAATCCATAGCCTGATGAATTCGAAGCGTAACCGCCATGCAAGCCGATTTACACCTTGCATCATTTTTCAAAATCTACGACGGACGGTTAGTGCAATAATTTAAATTCGAACATATTCAATTGTCAGTCTCAAATGTATATATAAGTAATGAATAACAAGTTTATAAACTTCAATGGGAATTGAAGTGGGTCGGTACGTGATCAAATCTTCTGAGAAGGCCTTCGGCTTTCACAGGATTTGATCACGTGACCGACCCACTTCAATTCCCATTGAAGTTTATAAACTTGTTATTTATTTCTTAAATGATAAATCACCGCTTAGTGATAGAAATATCATTAAGCGTTGCAATTGCAACATTGCAACGCTTATAGCCATAAAAAATGCATATATAGTTGACATTCTCAACCGCAAACGCTAAATCGCTAAGCGTTCCATTGCAATGATATTTCTATCATTAAGGTAAGTCACTCCTGAAATTTGTTATATCAAGGATTTTTTAAGAAGTATATTTTGGATAAGTACTCATTAAGTGTAACTTAAAATCGCAAAGAAAATAGGGGGTCAGTGTGCATCCTACTGATCTACGGTATATTTAAGTTGACCTTTCTGCACTTAAATTTCATCTCTTTGGTTAATTACTTTAACCCTTATTATATTTGATCAAATGTAAGCATGGCAGTAAATATAATCTTATTTTACGTAAAATAGTTTGAATAATATTTATCATTAAACAAATCTTGCAAATTAATGCGCGTAAATTATTGTGTGACCTTTTTGTACTAAAAAATAACATTTTTGGGGTATGAAAAAACTTAATAGGCAATGAAAAATTTTCTTATATCAAACTTTTTACGACTTTAGTGCTGATCAGTCACAAGTATCAAGTAGTTTAAAATAATGAAAGAAAAAGGTGGTGTCAGTGATGTTAATTTTGAAATATTTGTCAAAATATGTGATTTTCAGGCAAAAAATATTGTAAATTTGATCTTGACTTCTTTAATATATTTTAATTTTTTGGAAAAGTTTGTTGAGGGAAGGTGTAAATATTAGTCTAAAAATATAAATTAAGACCTATATTAAATATTTTTAGCAATATTAAAACGGAAAATCTTCTCTGAGTAAAAGTATGTGAGGCTAAATTTCCATTACATTAAATTTTATAAATGTGCAGATTTGCAGAATTTTCTGCTAAATATCCTTCCACCAAAAGAAATAGTCCCTCATAAATCTTGCTTCTTTGTAGATTTTTGAGCAGTTTTTTCATTGAATGTTAAAAAATTTACATTGTTGAATTTACATATGTTATAAAAATTGAATTTTAATAAGTAGTTTTGAAGTAAAAACTTCTGCGTGAACTTTTCTAAAAAGCTGACGAGTGACTTACCTTAAGCGGCGTTTCACCATAAGCGGTCGCTACAAATCCTCTTCTTAAATATATCATGGGGAAAGGTTGTTTCGGGTGTCGAAAACTTGTACTGTATTTTATGGCTTAGTTTAAACTTTGTGACAAGATTTCAAGTTTTCAAATATTTCATTGTAGTTTTTAAATCATATTTGCAAAAATGTAGACCATTCATAAAGCACTATTGATTCACTGAAAAATTTAAAATTTATATAAAAATTAATGTACGGCCTATGCATTTGTATTAATGATAGTATTTGACGTTAGTAGATATTTACATTAAGATTAAATTATATAAGTAAATGATAGAATCATATCCTCAGGTTTATCTTATATAAGAGATAATGATATTGCAGCATTAATAATATCACATTTTATTCATAAGGAAAGGCAAATCCAATTAAATGCAGTTTTTCTATCATTTGTAAGTGAGTATTTTATTGTTAATGATTCCTTCTAACTTAGTATACTTTAGGTAAAGCAATGCAGTTAGAATATTGAAATACAACTCGGCAAACCTCGGATGAATCCGTTGCCTATAGAATAATGACACATTTCCCCAATGTCGTTGTAGTTTTCCAACTTAAAATTAGGCTTTCCAATGAAAAAGTGAATCTAGAAAAATATTAACAATACAAATCCGTGAAGAGTGCATAAAACACGGGTCTCTGGAAATTCCAGAGATGGGATCATGTGCATTTGAGAAGTAAGCATCCCCCTGTTGACCGTCCGTGATCCCAACACACTGATCAGGAAATATTCCGTGGTCAAATTCATCATAGATTCGCATAACTAAAAATCTTTGTTAATAGATTAGTGAATAATCCCAGCCCAATGTTGGTCTCGTCTTCACAAAACAGAGGGTCCTTGTTTCCTTAAGGGTAGGGGGCCCTTGCAAATACTATTCGATATTTCAGGGCTTGCATGCTTCTCTCATTGAGAATCAACAATCGAATGAAAGCTTTCATAAATATTTAGGTAATGTAAACAGAAAGGAATCAATTGACACCACAAATGCACCTAGCTAGCTGTTACGTTATTTATCAAAGAATAGATGGATGTAATTGGTTGAGAGATAAAAAAATCAATGAAGATTTGTTTTTGTTTCAAATGACAGACCTGACTACAGTCAGCCCAAAACCTATTGAATGCAATTGGTCAGGGGTCCTATGGCAAGGTGTTGACTCAAGACTGTGAGGATGTGTTGGACTAAGATCAAAATAAATAAAACCCTTGGTATCCATGCATGGTAAACGTTCTGATTGTACATACAAGAGCTCTGAAGGGTTTTAAAAAGTTGCTGAGTTTCTCATTGACAATATCAGTAATAACTTTAAAGATCAAGTCTCTAAGTCAATAACCTGTTGGAATTCCCATGAGTCTAGTTGCATCGCCTTATATGAAGCTTAAACTATCCATAAACATCTACATGAAATGAAGAAGTCCCTTGCCGTGAACATCTGTTCAACATTTAGAAACTTTATGATACACATGATGACTTCAACTTTTCTATTGCCAACAATATCTAACATTATTGCCTGCATTTCCCAGTTAATTCGAAACACAAAGAAAGAAGATAAGCTATTGACAAATAAGTCGATGATACAAGGATATCAACAGTCTCGTCTAAAGTCAATATTTTGAAAAGTCTTTAGTTGATGCATTGGTTTTGTCGGCAAAGTCAAGCTATTGCTAAACAAGTATTGTTACTATTGACGGACGATTTTTGTACATTTTGTCAGGACATTTCACAAAAAAAATGTCCTGATTTTTCCGTTTGCCCGGGCCGATAATGCCAAGATGCACAAGGCAGGTGTGTCCTATCAGCAGGGAATATTCTTTTCCTTTATGGTACCTGATCCCCATCTTTGTTTAAGAACCCAATTTCCGTCGTTTTCATGGAATTTTTGGCCTGAATACTTTTCATTATTTTTCAAATTTAATCTACATGACACCTAATACATCTTGGACAGTTGTTTGAATGATCCGGGGTTTTTTGCTATTTAAATGCATATTATTTCGAATGATTTAAATTTTAAATGTTGCAGTTCAAGCTTTTTGTGTGTTGAATGTTGATCATATACTTTTATTTTTACTTACATTTTAGAATTCCTCACACGAAGAAAGGCACGTAAAAAAGATATAGGATGTAGAAAGTAAGGTAAAATAAAATTAGTGTTTCAAAACCCCTACGTATATATTTGTATTTGTTTCCTTTAATCAACTTGACAAAGTAAAAATTCATTTCATTTTTTAAAAATTCTGTAATTCTTCTTTTGCTCATTTGCCTACTAGAATTGAGGTGTCCCAAACTTACTGAAAATATTTTTCTCGTCATCAGACCCATCTCGACACAAATGGAGAGACTTTTTATAATAACGCTGCTATTCTTGGTAAGCCTTTTGTTTGTTTGATTTTTTTTTTTTTTTTTTGGTTTTGTTAAGCTAAAGATACTAGTATCTTTCTCAATGAATGAAATCACGAATTTGAAGAAATTGAATCTAATTATTAGTAGTAATACAAGTCCTTATTAAGTTGTCTTGTTGCAGAGTTCTCTCTCAGTCCCGTTACCAAAATGGGTATACAGAGTAAAGTCCTGCCCGGAACCAAACAATATAACGGCCTGGAAGGAGGCCTCTAAACAGTTGAATTGTCTCTATGAACTGACTTCAACAAAACCCGAAGAACAAGGGGGAATCTACCATTGTCTAGCCAGTACTTATCTCAACGAATCTGTGGAATTTTGTGGAAGAAGTGTACCTGTTGCACCAGGTGGAATGTCTTCTCTTTTTATCATTCGAAACTATTCATTGATATTTTTAAATTCTGCACATAAAATATGTATACATGTACTTTGAAAAGGCCAATGTAAATATAAAGCAATCTATTCTGTACAAATGCATGACTTTTTTTGCTTTCAGGAAATTGCCCCATCTACAACTACATGTTTTCAAGTAATACAGCAGCTAGCTATTATAACTGTTCAAAATTTTTAAATGGATGTCCAAATAAAATGATCCATTCAAAAGAAGTATACAAATGTAAGTACAATTCCTTTGAACATGTGGGAGATGTTTCTAGTTTTCATTCATAAACTACTGACTTCAAATGTTTTTCTATTGTAGACCATGCATGTCTGAGTATTAATCCAGAAAAGAAATGCTTCAACGCAGATGTAAACTGCGAAAAGGAAACTAAAGACAAGTAACGAAATATCTTTACATTTTGATTTTCATGTACTTAAGACTTTAGAATTCCTACCTACTGCTTCAATAAAAAAAATAACCTTTTTTTGTTTTTAGACCCACTCTTTCAACAACCAAACAAACAACTGATATTACACCGAAAAATACAGTTTTCACGTAAGAACCAAGTTCCTCAAAGGCGAGAAAAAACAGTTGGATGTGGTGAAATATATTATTTAAGATAATTTCACATTTAACTGGAAATATGTCTGTTTACTACGAAAGACGAATAGGGCCACATAAAAAAATATTTTTATCTCGTAATTACGAGTTAATTATCTCGTTATTACGAGAAAAGATCTCGTAATAACGAGAAAAGATCTCGTTATAACGAGTTAATTATCTCGTTATTACGAGAAAAGATATCGTAATAACGAGAAAAGATCTCGTTATTACAAGTTAATTATATCGTTATAATGAGAAAAGATCTCGTTATAACGAGTTAATTATCTCGTAATTACGAGAAAAGATCTCGTTATTACGAGTTAATTATCTCGTTATAACGAGAAAAGATCTCGTTATTACGAGTTAATTTTCTCGTTATAACGAGAAAAGATCTCGTAATTACGAGTTAATTATCTCGTTATAATGAGAAACGATCTCGTAATTACAAGATGATTATAAATATATATTTATGCCATTATCTTGGAATTTTTTCTTTAATAAAAATGTGTGAAGAGGACGAAGTTATTAAATTGTGCTTCGATCTGGGATTAAGTATTTTTCATATTGATCTGTTCTCGTAATAACGAGATCTTTTCTCGTAATTACGAGATCTTTTCTCTTAATTACGAGATAATTAACTTGTAATAACGAGATCTTTTCTCGTTATTACGAGATCTTTTCTCGTTATAACGAGATAATTATAACTCGTAATTTTGAGATAATTAACTCGTAATAACGAGATCTTTTCTCGTTATTACGAGATCTTTTCTCGTTATAACGAGATAATTAACTCGTAATTTTGAGATAATTAACTTGTAATAACGAGATCTTTTCTCGTTATTACGAGATTTTTTCTCGTAATAACGAGATCATTAATTCGTAATAACGAGATCTTTTCTCGTAATTACGAGATAAAAATATTTTTTTATGTGGACCTATTCGTCTTTCGTAGTTTACTTTTAATAAATAACAAACATTCCTTTCCAAGACTGGTTTATTTCCCATCTGATTGTGACCAGGGAACACTACTAATTGAAATTTTTCTCTTGTCTATGAATTTGAATTTTTTAAAATCATTAATGTGACTTTTCTCTTCTTAATCTTAATTATTGAAACTAGGGATGTCAAATCGGTCAATTTTTAATACTCGGTTACTCGGACGTTTTTCCGATCGAGTACCCGGGTACTCGGTAAAAGTGTAAATAAATTTGAACAAGTATAAATTGATGACTGTAAAACATTGTAAACCCTTGTAGAAATAAAACTACATGTTCTTATAGGAGGTTTATCCGTAAATGTATTTCTGTTGTAACAATGATGAGCACTTCATGCCCAACGAAATTTAATATTTAAAAAAAAAAAAACAATACTCTCCGTAATTGTAATGTAACTGTTTGTTGGGATTGATATCCAGGCATCAGTCGTCAGAGCTTCGTACAGTATGAATTTGAACTTGATCAAGTTCTCCTAACAGAGCGGATTTGCGATTTTCGTTCACTTGTTCGATCCGAGATTTGATAGTATTACGGGACGGCATTTTGTAGTTTGGTGCAACGATGCACATCAGTTTTTTAAAGCCTTTGCCTTTAACATGTTTAACCATTTGTATTGGCATGTAATCAAACACAACCATATCAACAATCGCACGTTTAATATCATCTGTCTCTTTTCCCGAGAATTTACGCTTCTCAGAGAATTGACAAAATTATCTAATTTATTTAAACATAATAGACCTTAAACGATGTTCAGTGAAAACAAATAATTAAAGCAAACCAAAAATAAGGGTAGAAGACAGCTGAAGGTGAGAAAAGCCAGGTAACAGGTGCATGGTCACGATAATTACTGTATAAACACTGCCACAGGCGATAACGGTCATTCAGAGGCGTAGGAAACCCTAATAGTAATTACTGTATGTAAAAGTGCAATGAGCATTTTAAGTTTTTAAACATATTGTTTAATGCATTTATATATAAGCTAAGAAATATTCAAAATATACATCCGAGTAACCGAGTAACGATTTTGGTATTCGATACTCGGACGTTCGATCGAGTACCCGGTTAACCGGGTACTCGTTGACATCCCTAATTGAAACTGATATTTTGTATTGCTACTATTAAATTAAGCATGATCACGAGAACCAGTTGAAAATAACATTATTTATCATTAAACATCGTATTTGTGTATATTTTAAATCGTACATGTACATTGAAATACATGTGTTTTCTTTTATTCAGTTAAGTCTGTTAAGAAACCACTGGAGTTCAGTTATATATTGTTTACTCCCATTTTAAACAGTGTTGGATTATCGAGAAACGAGACAAACCCTGAGGAGAAAAGAGAAAATGTAATACCCAATAGGCAAGTTCAAGTTTTTATGATTTTTGTTATAAGTAAAGTGATAAAATATTGATTTTTGTTTATTTGTAATGAAATTGAATTAAAATTATGAAAAAAAATATTGAGATAACGAACAGTATTTAAGCTCAAAAGCCAATCAGACAATACATAATAGGAGCAGAGCAAACACAGACCTCCAAAACATCAGATGTAGGATCAGGTACCGTGAAGGAGTGAGCATCCCCTACCAACCGGTCACAGTCGCCGTGTGGTCCTCGTCATAATCGCAAAATAACGGAAAATTCGTCTACTATTCAGTTTGTTAATAACGGCCTAACAATCAGTATAAAAAAGTCAGTATTTGACTCAATGATAAATTGTATTTGCTGAAAAGGTCATCGCATCGACCACAGAACTGACGAAATGACGACTATAAAATGAGACTGCTGCTATTCTTGTTTCATCAACTTGTTTGTCAATAATTTACCTCGTTTTAGAAATTATACATACATAGAGCATGCTCTTGCATATAAAATCAACGTAGAGATATAAACCACGTATGCAGGTAACAAATGTATTTTGCTGCATAAGTGAGGGAAGTTGAAGCTTCAATTGATTATGTGAGTCCAATTCAAATGCTAATTTATATTAGTATTAAAATGAATTGTTTTTAAATCCGTGAAGGAGACTTTTAACTGAAACCGCTGACCTTAATTTTTGTCTGCTAATTTTAGGGAAAAAACCCCAAAGGAATTGGTATTTTTATTTATTATTTAATGATCATCCATGATAATAAGTAAAAGATTTCATATTTATTCGGTTCGTTTTCAATCTTTAAAATTTCATATCTAGAAGTGGATACCTTTAGTAGTTTACACCAGTTGTTAACTAAAAATTTAGTTGCCTGAAATATTTTTGTGACGTCATTCTTTTGTTTCAAAGACCTTACAAACTTATCCACTATATTATCTTCACAAAAACGATATTATAATTGATCTATAATTCCAAATTATCACTGACTGTGTGAAATATACCCTGACTTCTGTTAGCATTTTATGAATAAATAAGTTCACAAATAACTTAAGAAAATAATTTTCAAATAGAAATTAAAATCTCATAATTATATTAAATTTTAAAATGTAGGAATATCCCCAAAATCACTTCATTAGAATTTATGCAATATAAAAGTATTCGTATTTCTGAAATGAAATATATGGAGATACATGTAACGAACATTATTAAGCTTAAAAGTCCATTCAGACAATGCAACTCTGGAGCAGTGCAAACACGGACCTCATAAACATCTTTTTTTTTTTTTAAAACTATTTATACAAAATTTTATTCACATAAGTGAATGGGACTGGGCAGCAGGCAAAGCCTATTTTAGCCCTCTCCTTATAAACATCTGATGTTTGATCAGGTGCCATGGATGGGTGAAAGTGATGCTTTTGTGAGCTCAAAAAGCGCCTCTTAAACCAAGTTTGGTTGCTGACTCTAGTATCATCTTTTTAAAATAGCTGATTAAAAATGCACTGAGAATAATTTAAGATACGAACTCAGATGTTCTATTGTCTACTGAGGCTTGGAGCTTCACACCCCGTTCAGTCCTAGTCCATCTTTGTTTTGTGTCTCAATTACAATTTACCGGGGTATATGATAGTTGCCATGTAGTAAATTTACGTATTTTTTTGTACAGACATTTAATTTAACTTTAGAAAATAAGTACATTTATTACTAATATAAGTGTATTACTAACAAATTTTATTACTTATTATATATTTTTATCTTTTCAGAGACATGCTCTGGTTGTTACCGATCGGGGTTCTTTTAGGAGCTATTATTGTAGGCATTATAATAATTATAATCCAAAGAAGGAAACTAATCAAGTGTTTGAGTATGTATTTTTGAACAAATTTGATTTAAATTTACAAGATCTCTTGAAAGATGTTTGATTTGTCATGGTTATGTTTTATTTTAGAAAAAATTAGGATGAAAGAAACATACATGGTTGATGATGCAACACAAATGAAACAATTATGTAAGTGATTTTGCTTCTCCTTCATCTTATTTTACTTATGAATATAACATATCCAACTTATACCCCATAGCTCCCTATCTAAGGAGAAAATTGTTCAAAATCATACGTTCATATGGTTTAAAAAATCTTTTTACATTCCCAACGATCGAAATAAAATTGAACGGACTAGATAGAAATGTTCTACCGAGCCTCTCTATAATATTTACTCCTCACTAAAATATTAACAGTACTAAAGAAGAAACTTCAGGAGTAATGTAAAACAACATATTTGAGAAATGGTATAAATCAGATGTGAATACTTAGTACATAAAAAACTCCAATGAGCTTAAAAAAATTTAAATCACAAAATTTTACTAAAAGCAGTTATATCAAAATGTAAGACTCCCCAACTCTTCACCAGTCATTCCCTACAAAAAATAATATTCAGACTTTTTGACATCATAGACAGTTTGCTGCTTTTTCATTAAAAATAAAACAAAACTGTTATCGTGAATTTTCTTACCCTGTCATTGGTCATTTGTAAACTTATTTTCATGTGAAGTATTCTAATTGTATACACAAGTACTCCTAAAAGAGCAATTAAAAAATTTAGATTCTTATGTTTCTGATATTTATGTGTGTTTTTTGGAAATCAAGTCTTTCAACAATTAGTTGGAATTCTCAAGATAAAGAAAATTATGATCAATTTCTGATTTTAACTTTGTTCAATGAAAAAAGACAAAATGAATCACTTCATTTTTTAAAAGTGCCCATCCCACGTACGATGAACAACGATCCAACAGATAATGATAGCAAAGAAAATGACACTGACAATACAGCCAGCAAGGGGAGCGATTCTGCAATAGGGTCATCGGACTCGGATTTAGGTAAAGACTATATGGAGTCAGATTTATGATAACCTTGTAGTTACTAGTATCATCTGTCCTCCATCACCGTAAATTCAACGAAAATCAATCTATTAAAAAAATAGAACTGAAATTTAAAAAAAAAAAGAAGAAAATTTGCAAGAGTAAAGAACAAAAAGTGTCATAAATTCATTGAATTGATAAAAGATGTGCATAAATTTCAGATAAAAATGAAGATAACTGTGATCCAAAAACATCACACAAAGAAAATGAAGAAAAGAGATTTTCAAATAAGGTGAAGGAAAGAGATGAGAAAAGAAGAGCTAAGCAAACGTCCTGTGACATCAAAATAGAAAATGGTAAAGTTCGCTTAATTTTTGATCAGATAAAATAAAACCAAAGTTGATCTTTTAAGAAAATTGTATAAGATTGTGGTGGCTGTAAGAAACCTAGATGTTTAGATGAATGATTAGTCAAAATACTTTAGAATTCAGGACTATAATAAATACACGGAGACATTTTTCTTTATTTTTTGATGACATTAATAATGCATACTATCAATCATGATTTACATTCTGCATTTGACCTTTAATTTCTTACTGAATATTGAATAACTTTTTCAGACTTATAGTACATTTACACACGTTTTTACATGCTCTCAGAAGTACTTGCAAAAATAAAACAAATATTGATATGTTAATTTCTTATTTTCTTAAATAACTAATGCACAGATTATTTTATCGCATTTATGTTTCTAGCGTTACGAGTTTGAATCTTTTTTATTCATCTATTAGAATATCCTTTCAAAGCATCCAGTATATTAAAAGAAAGAGTGACCCAATTTTTTAATATATTAAATTCATTTATGCATGAACTTAATTATATGAGACAATGTTATTATTTTTATTTAACAGAAGAAAGTAAATCTGGTAAAACTATCAGAGGCCTAAGTGCATTTACCAGATTCTCCCGTAACAAAGAATTCAGTGACTTCTTGCAGGATACAAGTGAAGAAATGTCAGCTGAAACGACAGGAAAAATGAAGGAACTTTTAAAAGGTTTTTGTTAGTTTTTTTAAAAAGAAAAATACTATCCTCTTTAAAACCTAACACCTCTTACTAGTATGTGGAACATTTATTATTTCAAAAGTGATCTGTTCTGAAAAAAAATCCAAAGAAAAAGTAAACTGTTTTAATGTTAAAAACAATTATAAAAAATGACTGAAAATAATGTTTACTTAAACGAGTCGTAAACAACAATAGTTGTAAACTTCTGATAAATTATCAGGTGAATGATACTTAGGATAAAGTTTAGTTCAATTTATTTTTCTATATGTACAATTTCAGTTGCATGGCATATAGTATACATGCAGTTAAACTAGTAAGCTGTAAGAACTTGCTTCCTTCAGTAAAATGTGTTCAAAACGAAGTCCAAGTTCAAGTATATTTTGTCAAATTTTTATTTAAAAGATATGTTGTATATCAACACAATAAACTGATTTAAAAGGTGGATCAAAGGTCAAGTTAAAGCAAAAGACCTTACAGTTCTCAAAATATCACACATACAGAGAGAGACAGACGACGGAGAAAGTGATAGGTAAGGCAATACAAAAGGAAATGCATTGTAAGTTTTTTTTTTTTTTTTGTAGACCGCATGTGTGATCCTGATCCTGAATTAGATAATGTGAGGACACCGAAGGAGTTACTAGAGTACATGGATAATAAGCTGTCTTTGTACAATAATGTAACAATACTTCAAGCATACGCCTTGGCAATTAAACCTCCCGATGAAAATATGTACAAAAAATGTTTACATTACTCAAAGAGCAGAAATGATGAGATGTTTTACTTTGAAAAAACCAAATCTAAACTGAACGGTAAGTATTTAGTTCGTTTTTTAATTCAATATTTTAATTCATTAAAAACAGTATATATAACGGTGAATTATTTACAGTGTTATATTGCGATTTTAGAATGCATCGAAGTTGTAAGAAAAGATGTAAGAAAAATGCTGTTTTTTCTTTTCAAAATCCTAAATTCATTTTATGAATTACTTAGAGAACAAATAGACAAACACAGTCTTTAGATGTAAATATATTATCTTTACGCTAATTATGGGCATGACTTATTAATCAATTAATTTTACAATCGTTGACTTCCCTTACTTATGCAGTAATCGTATACCTTTACCATATCCATGTGGGGTTTATATCACCCGATTGATTCGACACGCGAGAGCATGCTCTACTTTTAAATAATTTTCAAAACAAGGTAAACTATTGATAAACAAGTTGCTGAAACAAGAATATTTCAGCAGTCTCGTTCAAAGTCATCAATTGTTAGTTCTATGGTCGATGCCGTGATCTTGTCAGCAAATACAATAAATCATTAAGTCATATGCTAACTGACGTTTTTCATACTAATTGTTAGGCCATTATATACACACAAAATTGTCTGATTTCCCCGTTATTTCCCAATCATGACAAGGAGCACACGGCGGGTGTGACTGGTAGGCAGGGGATATTCACTCCTTCATGGCACGTAATCCCACCTCTGATGTTTTTGAGGTCCTTGTTTGCTCCGCTCCAGTTTTGTATTGTCTAATGGACTTTTGAGCTTGAATACTGTTCGTTAAATCCCAATACTTCATTCTTACTATATGTTACATAATTTTGAATTTTTGAAAATAAAAATGCTCACTTTAAGGTAGAAATATTGAAATACATGTAGATCAAAAATGCTCATGCTTAAAGAAAATAATAATAATAAGACTCTTGCTATATTGCAATGACGATGACACCTAATGCGATTTACGTCACAAACACAACTTTGTTCTTTCAATAAGAATACCGTGAAAATGGAGGAATCGAACCGTATGCAAGCTCAAATGTACATTCAAACAATGGTGTTACGGAGGAGTGGGCATCTCCTGCTGACTTGTCATACCTCCTTGTATTCCTTGTCATGACTGGGAAATAACAAAACAATATGTCGACAATTCAGTGTGTAAATAATGGCCTATCAATTAGGATGAAAAACGTCAGTCTGTATTTGACTTAATTCTAGACTCTTTTGCTGACAAGGTCATTTTATCGATCATAGATCTTACACAATAATTACTTCAAACAAGATAGTCGACATTCTTGCTTCATCAACTTGTTTATCAATAATTTAGCTCGTTTTAGAATTGAACATAGTAACGTAGAGTATGCTCTTGTGTATCAAATAGAGATATTATCCAAATATAAAACAAATATGTCAGACTATATTATGTGAATAATATTTTTAAGTTCGAAGCGGAAAAAAGTTTACTATGAAATTGAAGATTTTTCAATAAATAGTTTTCCAGTATTTAACTTACATACTGCGATATTTTGTAGGTTATGAAAAAGTGGTGTTTCATATTCATTGTAAGAATATCGCTTCATACAACAAAGGTGAGCTAGATACACTGCGAAAAGACCTTGCTACATTTCTACGAGCTGAACCAGATGATGTTATACTTGTTGGTATACAACAAGGAAGCATTATACTCACATTTATGGTCAGGGATAAATTAATACCTTCCCTGAGGTCAATATTTTCTGAGAGAAATTCCTGGAAGTACATCACATATCGAATGCTGATTTTACGACATTTGACCTTCAGAGTTTTCAAAATATTTATCGGGGATGAAATCGTTTATGAACCAGGTAGTTTCAATTACTCACATTGGTTATTAACTTTCTGACTTTAAAAAAAATTGCAATGGTTATTTATATTTTCAAAAAACAACTTAATTCACTTATATGTTTGAATGTTAAAAGAAATAGCACCTAAAGAGCTACATGATGTGAATCAAGAAATGATGCGTGATCAAGTCTCAGGAGGCAGAGATGAGGTAGGATAACTTCACGGTCTCAGTATTCAGTAACAAAAGTTTGATTGTATTCACTTAAAAAGGGAACAAAGAGAATATCATATTAATAAATTCATTACATAAAATTGTTTGTAAAAAAGATATACAGTTATTTTAATATTGACTCTTTAGTGAAACAAAAGTTCTGTCCATGTATTTGATAGTGAAAATTAAATTTAATTTGACTTTAGAAAATGAATGCTGAAGAAGACAAAGACCAAAAACAAACAGGTATTAAAATTGTATTTTTATATTATTTGTTTTAATTCTGGTGTTTTAGCGCACAGCACCTTTTACTTGTAACAAATGTCATAATTTTTCAGCGATTGTCAAAGAAGAACAAGAAGAACTCGAAAGAAATTCGACTATGAAGAATTTTCTAGAGGAATTAGCAGGTTCAATTACTGACGATGTTTTAGCTTCAATGAAAGAGGTCCTAAAGGGTATGTAATTAGCTATAAGAGCTAATTCTAGAAAAAAAAAAATTAGCAGCAATCTACGATTGAATTGGATTTGATTTTTTTGTTCTATTTTATTTTTATTTTATATTCAGGCATTTTAGAAGAAGAAGCGATGAAGGGATTGAATGCACAAGGACTTTTGAACAACTTAAAAGAGGATTTTAAAATTGAGTATAATATCTGTTTCCTGCAATGGATTTTTGAGAAATGCTCTGTGCATGAACTGAGCACTAGATGTTCTGATTTTGCTTCGAAGCACCAGCATCTTTTTCCACTAATTTACTTCGATTCAAATTTGTCAGAGAAAGAGGGGGATGAGAGTAAGTGATAATCAATCTTTTATAGATGCTTAACATTTCAAAACATTGGCAAAAAACAAAAGTTTGGAGTTGAATGATTATTTCTCAAATAATGAATTCTGACTCAAGTAAAATATATTAACACGTATACAATGATAACCAATCAGTTGTCACAAATAAACATTATCAAGTCAAATAATGCAATGAATATAAATCGATTTTCTTATGTCAAATTTTATTATTTGAAATGTTATTAGTTACAGTTATCAATATATTATAATAATCAAATATTACAATAAATGTATTATTCGAAGGCTTTAACTCCAATGTTTAATAAAGGTTTGGTGATACAGTTTTGAAACATGTTTATAGTGATAGGAATGTCCGTCCGCCTGTTACACTTTGGGGTACCCATCTCTTCTCCGCAACTCCTCTTATACTACTGAGTGAAATTTAATGAAACTTTCATAGAATCTTTGTTACATCGTGCCATTGTGACCTCCTATTTTACTTTTTGAATAGAAACATATTACAGATTTCCCATAACAAAACATTGACACTACCACTTTTTAAATTTCTTATCTGCAAGTCCTCCTATACTACCGAATAAAATTTAATGATACGTTTACAGATTCTTCATTTAAAAGTGTCATTGTGCATTTAATAATTTACTTTTTAATCTTACACTAATTTCATGTCTTCCAGAGCAAAACATAGACTTTGTCATAATAACCATATGTCCATTACAATTATATCGGAGGCGGGTGTATTTTTTTGTCATTTTGTGAGCTCAGTGCTCACAGTAACTCTAGTTTTTTTCTTTAAATTTTATATCTCTCATCAATTGATTCGATACGCAAGAGCATGCTCTACGTATGTACAATTTGTAAAATGATGGAAATCATTGACAAACAAGTTGATGGAATAGGAGTGTCAGCAGTCTCGTTTAAAATCATCATTTCGTAAGTTCTATGGTCGATACAGTGACCTTGTCAACAAATACAATATATCATTGAGTCAAATGCTGACTGAAGTTTTTCATACTGTTAGTTTATTATTTATACACTGAATTGACGACGGATTTCCCGTTATTTCCCGATAATGACAAGGAGCACACGGTGAGTGTGGCCGGTCGGCAGGGGATGCTCATGGCACCTGATCCCACCTCTGATGTTTTGGAGGTCCGTGTTTGCTCTGCTCTTGTTTTTTTTATTGTTTTATGGACATTTGATCTTGAAAAATGTTCGTTTTCTCCATATATATCATTTAAATTTTATCCATCAATAAGGACAAAATGCCATGGATTGAGTTACATAATATCAGACAGGGAAATGTATACATGTATATATTTAATTTCTTGTAGGTATTTTAAAAACTGTTATTTTAATCCATATCAATGTTTGTTTACAACAGAACATTGCGTTAGAGTGTATGTCGAGAAGGAGTTGGAAAAATGTCAGACTGAAGTGAATGATATCAGAAATATGTTGGCTAAAGAACTTGATGTTGACAGTGGTGAAATGGTCATCGTTGGATTAGAGAAAGGGTCTGTTACTATTGTTTTCCGGCTTTTAGAATCATCTACCACAGATTTTATGTCACGTATCAATAATGAAACGGACGAGTTTTCAGTCCATTTATCTCGAAAGGGAGTTCGTAGAATCAGAAGTGGTCAAGACGCAGTCGTGATCAGCACTGGTAAGGATTATTATAAATGAAATATATTCAGAACCTACTGACAAAGGAAGTGAACAATATTAGTAACCAACATAATATTGTTTGAAGGGTAATATATCTTTTTTCACACAGATAAAATTCCAGAATTCGTTCATCTCCACTTGACCAATACGCACGAAGGAAATACTTTTAAAAATATGAAGGTAGCAGTTTCAACTGTACTTCGCAAATTGAAGATTTCAATGGATAAACCAAAAGTGTTTCTCCGAACCAAACACAAGCCTAGTCAAACAGGTAACAAAAATATCATTAATCCATGAAAAGAGGGACTACAAAAGTAATGAAAAAAACTTAATTGGGAAGATTCTTTTAAATAATCAGAAATTAACAGGAGATTACCAAATTTGACCAAAGGCTAACAGATTCTTTAGACTTGAAATGAAAAAAATGTTTAACTTTTAATTCTCTAATTCAACAAGTAAAATATATGATGACAATAAGATTTGAGCCACTTACTCTATTTGAAAAATTTGAAGTCTATAAGCTGTAAGCTACATTTTAATGTACATACATTGTGTGCTCATAACTAGTCTAGGTACACCACTGTGATAACAAGTCAACAAGGAAAAGGGACTAGATTTTGTGGTTGTATTTTCAAATGCATTTTATTAGTCTTGTTGAAGTACATTTTATTCTTATCAATATAATTTGTATTATTAGAAAATGACAGTTGCCTTTCGGAAAGACCACTCTTACTGGACGAAATGGAACCCATGGATCTTTTGAACAACAAACAAATACGGAAAGCACTTGGAAATACAGACATCACAATTATACTGTCGAGTCAAACCCGTAAAGAAAAAATCAAGACTTTCTTGGGTATTGTAGAAACGTTGCCTAAACAGAAAAGAGATGAGTTGTGGAAGGTCATATCTGAATATATAGAACGTCCAAGAGACCAATGTAAAAAGAGGAATTGCTCTATTAATTCATATGAAGACCAAGGTATTTATTTCATTTATTCTGATTTCCTTTGTAATAAAACTAAAGTGTATTTTACTGCAAACAGACCAAATTACTAGACGCTGCAAGTTAAAATAATTTTCCTAAAATAAGTACGAATAATCCAATGAGAGAAAGGGAGGAATTAAATGAGGCAACTATGTATAAGTGAATTACTTTAATTTCATTTGTATTTATACTGGTAATAAAAAACGAAATTGAAAAAAAAGATTAGTCATGGTTTTAATGTCGAACTCCCAATTTATAAATTTTTTGTGCATATGAAGCAAAAAAAAAATGCTTTGTTTGCAATTGAGGAGGATACTTCAAATGATAACATTTACACTAATCAAAAAAAGATGTTCTATATATTGATTTTACTTTTATTTACAATATAATTAAATGTTATTTATCGTTTTCTGGATGCAAGATTATCTAAGCATTTTAACATATTTTTATTTTCTAACTTGTTATTTAGCTATTGTTATTCATTACACGATTGATATAAATCGATGAACAACTTTTTCTCTAGGGACACTACCAAGTGAGGTAGAAATACTGGATGAGCTTAATACGCAGATGATGGTCGAAACTTTTGAAAAAATTGGAAATGTACCCAAAGATATAGAGCAGAAATGCAACAGTGCTTCAGGCGAAAGTCGCAGAAAAAGAGCAGAAATGTTTTGGAATTTTATCAAAGGAAACGAAAAGAATCGGGAGATTTTCAAAGAAGTTTGGAATCTCCGCCAGTGATTATTTGAATTGTTTACTAATTTTAGTGAAAGGGGGGGGGGTGTTACAACATGCAAATGCAGACATATTTACGCAAATGAACACGGTTTATTCAATCGGTCTTGTTTTATTGGAAGAAAATTCTGTACATTTTCATTTGAAATACATAATCTGTGGACTGCAGTTTACATTGGATATGTCCTGAAGTTTGAACATATTGTATGAGAATTTGTACTCTTTAATGTCGTTGTTTCCGCCAATTCGGGCAATACATATCAAATACGCATGACATATTGTATAAAGGATTTTTTTAGCGTGCATTTTACCGTCTAAAGTTTTTCATAGTTTCAAATACAACCATTTCTCATGAGAAATTCAAGGCTTGCATTGACAGCTGTATTTTCTATAAAATTGGAACTCGTAATGTTTCTTTCCTTGTTATTGGTCATTTACTGAATTACTTTGTTAAAAAACTTTCTGATTGTACACACAAGAACTCTGAACTTGAAAAAAAGATTGATTTCTGATTGACGATATCTATGTAATTGTTGGAGACAAGGTCTTTCACCAATCCTTTGGAAACCCCATGGATACCAATCGCATCCCGTTGTTAGCAGATCTATTTTTGTATTTATATTAAGCATATTTTGTTTATTTTCTTATATGTGAAAAGACGAAAACAGATATATCGACTTTATATTGTCAATTAACAATGGTTATTTTTATTCATATGTCGACACGATATATCCTGGTGAGCTTTAAATAACGTAAAGTCGAAAAAAAGGCTTCAACTTTAGATATGAATATCAGTATTGCTCAGTCTCGTACAATCACTTTGTTAACACCTACAATTCATCATTTAGTCAAATGCTGACTGAAGTTTTTCATACTGATTGTTAGGCCATTATATACACATTTAATTGTCGACGGATTTTCTGTTATATCCCGATCATGAGAAGGAGCACATGGCGGATGAGACCTGTCGGCAGGGGATGCTCATTCCTCCATGGCACCTTATCCCATCTCTGGTGTTTTGGAGGTCCGAGTTTGCTCTGCTCCAATTCTGTTTTATTGAACGGACTTTCGATCTTAAATACTGTTCGTTATCTCCATGTATTTCATGAAATATATAGGTGCCTTTGTCGAAGACAAAACACGTGTTTTAATGTGGCATTATTTTTCTTCCATATGAGTGTAAAATACTCGAGAGGGACATTAAAAATTCACAATCAATCAATCTTCAAACCCTAATATTAAAAAAAATAAAATAAAATATTTGATAAGCTTACGAGATTGATTCCAAAACATAGCAACACTTTTTATAGCCAAAAAGATCATTAAAAAAAGTGGAATCAAAGAAAGAGTGTGGTCTAACTATTGTAAAGAGAACCAAGAGCCCCAAACTTGTGTTATTAATTGTCATTTTTTTCCCCAAGAGGTCCAGTCAAAACAAGAGGCCCATGGGCCACATCGCTCACCTGAGCACTGTAGCTTGGTAAAAAGCAGAAATCAGTTTATTATTGAAAAGTTCAAACCCAAACGTGGTCCCAACCAATTCTTAAAGGGAAAGGGTATGATTTGAACAAACTTAAATCTACACTAAGCTTGCATATTTCTTTGACTACCTGTGTCTTCATAGCCCTTTACATTTGAACTTACTTTGTGGCCCCGCCCTCTCCAAAGTCACAACATGCAAGAAATATACTCATTCGTTTATCAATGAGCTTGCTAAAAAATTGAAAATAGATACTTGTCTCATGATCCTAATGAGAACATTGCGATGCCTCTTTTTCGCTTTAAAAGCGGTTGAATTTTGAACCAGATTTATAATGACTCCATATTACGTACTTTGACAATACAAAACTTGAATTGTCATCACTGAAAGTCGGAGAGAAATTTGAAAACTCAGATTTGCTTTATAAAAAAGCATTGATAAAACTTAATAAAAACAAAAATTTCATCTAAAAAAAGCTAACTAAATGATGTCACTGAATGAAACACAGTAAAGAGTCGTATGAACGGCACTTAAATTCAAAATATAACTGCTGAAGTCAGTATCCCAGATCAAAACATCTTGATGAACACATGGCTGAAATGAATGCAAAGGGTGTCTTTGCCTATATTACTTATACTTTTCTGCAATTAGCAGATAACACGAGGACGGAGAGATTATATCTACTCCGTAAAATATACAAAAAGTAAAAGATGCAAATTACCTTTATTTCTCAAGGAAGGCCTATTGCATTTCAAAAAAGAACTTACTAAAATGTCGTCAATTATATTGATTATAATTTTAATCAATTATTGTGCATTCAAAACTTGAGCACAAACTTGATGGATATCTCAGACTTCACATTGAAGAATGAACTTCTGCGACCACACAAGGAGAACTTGCTGGTCAGCTGTGATGTAACATCACTTTACATAAATGTGCAATTGGAGAAGCTTATGGCTGCTGTTGATACGGCTTTTAGGGAAATTCTCAGTCTAAGCCGAGCCCACAGCAGACCAAACTTATTTACTCAGATTTAATATATTTGAATGTGCAAATATATACAAACAAATAATTGAATATGCGATGGATGGGTTCTAAGTCAGGAACCCCATTCTGTATGCGATATTCGCTAATAAAACCGATGTATAAAATTATTAAAATACCAGCATATTCTAAGAAATATTAGGATTGCAACACAATTCTTTAAGAATAACCTATTGTGTCATGAAACACATTAAAAATCTGAGTGATTGCTCCTCCCCTGACTAATTTAATAATCTGTATAACAGATGTGCATATAGGCTCCTGATGATATTTGCAGCTAATTAATATACTATCAAAATCTTAAACCTTGTATATATCACACCGCCGAAACACTAGATTAGTGTCGAGTCAAGTGATTTGAGGTACGTGGCTGATGAGAGTCACTTTCTTTGAAAAATCAAAGAAAGAGTGTGGTCTAGCTATTGTAAAGAGAACCAAGAGCCCCAAACTTGTGTTATTAATTGTCATTTTTTTCCCCAAGAGGTCCAGTCAAAACAAGAGGCCCATGGGCCACATCGCTCACCTGAGCACTGTAGCTTGGTAAAAAGCAGAAATCAGTTTATTATTGAAAAGTTCAAACCCAAACGTGGTCCCAACGAATTCTTAAAGGGAAAGGGTATGCTTTGAACAAACTTAAATCTACACTAAGCTTGCATATTTCTTTGACTACCTGTGTCTTCATAGCCCTTTACATTTGAACTTACTTTGTGGCCCCGCCCTACCCCCAGGGGTCATGACCTGAACAAACTTGAATCTACACTATATGCTTCCATAAGAATTTGAATAATCATGGCTTTGCCATTCTTGAAAAGAAAATTTTTAAAGAATTTTTCAACATATTTCTATGTAAAACCTGGACTCCATGTTGTGGCTCCGCCCAACCCCCAGGGGTCATGATTTGAAGAATGCAGCAAACCCAAAACGTATCTAGAATTGTGACTGGGTGACTGCATTAATCAGTTTATATTTACAAAAATGTGTTTTCGGATTATATTTTGATTGGGAGTAATGAAGCAGGTAGCTATGCTTTTATTTTATTTTATCGCTCGCTAATTAAGTTCCAATCTCTCTGATTTGTCATGTACGAATGGAGATTTGAATCACGTGATCTTCCACGTGCGCTGGTTCTAAAACTACAAGTACATTTACAACAGAATGATACGTCGTTCCGATCGGAACACTATAATAAAGCGCAAATTGCGCAAGGCTTAAGAATTACAAAGCCAATTAACAAAGAGAGCATAGAACAATAGTTCTCTTAGCTCGTGAGCTTGTATCTCATTTTCACATCGGACATATTGTCTGATTATGAAAAATTAATTCAATTAAAACAAACTTGAATCTACACTAATTGAAACTGCTTCCATAAGAATTTGAATAATCATGGCTTTGCCATTCTTGAAAAGAAGATTTTTAAAGAATTTTTCAATATATTTCTATGTAAAACCTGGACTCCATGTTGTGGCTCCGCCCAACCCCCAGGGGTCATGATTTGAACAAATTTGAATTAACGCTACCTAAGGATGTTTCCATATAAATATGACTAATCATGGCTTTGCTATTCTTGAGAAGATTTTTCAAGAATTTCCCTATAAATTTCTATGTTAAACTTTGATCCGCCATTGAAGCCTCGCCCTACCACCTGTGGTCATGGTTCTAACAAACCTGAATCTACACTACCTGAGGATGCTTCCATAAATATGATCATTCATGCCTTTGCTATTCTTAAGAAGGTAATTTTTAAAGAAATTCCCTATATATTTCAATGTAAAACTTTAATCAGCCATTTTGGCCCTGCCCTTCCTCGGAGGGTCATGATTTGAACAAACTTGAATCTACACTACCTGAGGATGCTTCCCTATATAAGTTTCAAGTTTCCTGGCACAGTGGTTCTTGAGAAAAAGATTTTTAAAACATAACACCAAATTTTCACTATTTCTGAATTATCTCCCCTTAAATAAGGGCGTGGCCCTTCATTTAAACAAACTTGAATCCCCTTCACCCAAGGATACTTTGTGGCAAGTGTGGTTGAAATTGGCCCAGCGGTTCTTGAGAAGAGGATGAAAATGTAAAAAGTTTACAACGCCAATGACGACAGACGACGGACAAATTTTGATCAAAAAAGCTCACTTGAGCCTTCGACTCATGGTGAGCTAAAAATGGTCCAGGGCTATCAAGAGGTCCAGTGAAAAAGCCCAATACTATAAAAGTTTGTCTTATACTCGGCACTCATGGCCATTCAGCAGTGAGGAATCTTTTTGGTGCATCTACTGCAATACGGAACCGCGGTTTATGGGTCTCATCCGAAGGACCGGTCTCCACATTCAACAGTGGGATTCGAACCAGCGACGTAAGAATCAATTCCTTACTTTGCGACTTTAGAGCAGACGCTTTAACTGTTTCACCACGCTGGTGAATACACCCAAATGAAGGACTATCAATAGTAACTTTTTTGTCCAAATTGAACCAAGGAAAGTTAAACAGTTTTTCTTCAAAGAAAGTTCAAATTTTGGCATCAAGGGAAATATTCCTTTACCTGACAATGCTGTTGAAAATTAGCTTAGAGAAAAAAATGAAATTTTGACAGAAAAAAGTTTAAAGAGCTCTGCCATATTCGCTAGATCTTACCCATTGTCAAGTATTTTTATTCCAAAAAGACATGAAAACAATCAAAGGAACACTGTACACTATCATATACAGATACTAGTACATGTATGTTGTAATGAAACATGTGGAGAAAAACTCAAAAGTCCATAAAAAACAATACAAAATTAGAGGAGAGGAAACATAGACCTGTAAAACATAAGAGGTGGGATCAAGTTTTTTCATCAGAGTTTTGGGGGCATCTGTAAGGATGAGTACGCTGCACTTTTCTCGCCATAGAT